ATGCTTATACTTTACAGAGGTCTGATATTGTTCTATGTACAATCCTTGTTTTATTGATTGCATGTTTAGATGCAAGGGGGGTTTCATGAGCTGTACGCTATAATCATCACAATTATGACAAATCACGGCTTGAACTATCTTGCTTTGCATGTAATGAGTCTCATCTCATATATTAGTTCCACCTTTTATGTTGCATTACTAAAATAAATGAACTTTTGCACAATATTCTATTTTTTTGAGTTTCACCTGTACATACGAGAAAGACTGTCATACATACATACACACACACACATATACATATCAAACTCATAAATCCATCCAACAGGTTAAAAAGTGGAATAAAGTATTGTAAAGATGCCACTACTTGTGAAGATTGTCTTTTGATGTGTATCTTGTCTGAATAACAATTACATAATTAATGAAAGAATAAATTAATGTTTTTTTCCCTAGCTGTTAAGTCAGCCTTCGAAGAGGAAATTACCAGAGTGGTTTGGAACAGCAAAAGAAATAATTCCTCCTGTTAAAGTATCTAAAAAATCCAGAGGAGGGAGTAAAGGACTGTTCAGTTGAAACTGGAAATAACACAATAATATATTTATACATAAGAACTTCATGAAGATGACATTCTTCTACTTTGTTGTGTCTCACTCAAGTGAGTTTTCCATTAACATCTCTTCTTGAAAAATTAGTGGGATTTATCAAACTCTGAAAGTGAGCCCAGGCAAAGAAAGAAGAAAAAGAGTAATAGTTTAAATCAGAGTGCACATTGCACGGAATATTCTTCACAATGTATGTTATGTATTGATGTAAATTGTTCCTTCTCAGATTTAATCACCTATTGAGGATATCTGAACCTGTATTCAGAAGCAACTGATTTCTCAAAAATACATGTAATATATGGTTCCTTTTCAAATACTGTATTTACATTTAAGAGAACTATGTTTTTATTTGTAATACATTATTTTTAAGGAAGACATTCCAGTGAAAAATAATATTAAAAAGCAGGATACCATGTGCAATGCTATTTAATTTTTTTTATTATTAACTTTTTTTTCTTCTCTTGCAATTACTTTTGGCACTTTCCTACAAAAAATAAAACTTGTTTATCATTAAACGTTGTGATTCAGTTCAGTGTTTGTGTTCAAAAGAGAAGATTAGCTCTGGAAGACTGGATGGACATGTAGTTTTTTTAACAAATTGCATAATTTGCCATTGTTTCTTTCTGTGATTATTGTTTTGACATCCACATCTACTATTGTACCCTGGGATTTCATGGTGGTCTCTCATCCGAGAGATGAGAGCAATCATCCAGTTTGATTGCTTAGCTTTTTTGAGGCTAGATCTTTTGTTGCCACCTGCTTGGGTGAAGTAAATAGATGTGTTTTAAATTCCTAGCCTTAAATGATAGACTCCTTAAAAAATTCAAGCTTTGACTTCTAGTGTGACATCACGTTGAGATTGGATGAATCCTTTCCCAATGGAGGGCTTCCCAAGGGGCTAAATCACCTGTAGAGGTAATGAAGAAAGGAGGGGCACCTTGCAGGTTGCAGAGAGCAGCAGCTCTCCAGCTGGACCCAGGGATTCCCTCCCATCCAACGACAAAAAGGAGATGCAGCCATTATAGCTGCCGTGAAATGGGGGCAACCAAAGAAAGAAATAATGTACTGGAGTGGTGTAGATGAACAGTGATTGGAACTTTTTTTTTTTTTAATTCTACTTTTACCTAGAACCTAACCCCAAAGAAAATAAACCCTGGAAAAGAGACACTTTGAAATGCTTGTCAAAGCGGAGAATAGTTACAGAGAGAAAAATTATAGAGCTGAAAAAAAGGGAAAGTGCAAAATCTTTAAAATATAGAAAATTTGGATTTTTAAACTTTATTGTCAATATTTTGGTAAGTCATTTTAAAATGCTGGAATTATTAGTCTGAATATTGACTGTTTACAAAAAACTGAAACATGTTAGATTTTGTGCAATCTTGAAAATTAAGCTGAAGGTTCCACCTACTGGTGAATGGAATATATACTAAACTATAACCTTGGGAAGTACTGATAAGACGTAAGGGAAAATGGAAATAAATAACACCTTGAGGGCTGCTGTGCTATCTACTGTTCTATATCTGTCTACTTCATAAGTACTGGAGGTTTAACAGATTATGGAAGTCATTTAAAGAAAGTGATTTTTAAATGCTAAGATCTATGATTAAACTTACAGAGTAGATTTAAGGAGACATTTGGAAATCTTCCTGGATTACGTAAATGGAACTAATTGATTAATTGTGGGACACAAAGAACAATAACTATTGCATTCCCCCGAGGAGCAACGCTAGGATTGAGCAAACAGTTTCTAAATTGGCTTCCTGAGGTCATAGACAATTGAAACTCTGCGGTTGTGACTGACTACTATTATTTGTATTTAAATGAATGATACCCAGATGCCTCACTATTCATATAATGACATTGATGTATATATATATTTTAAAAATCAAGCTTGACAATTCATCTTCATCCTTCTTCGACTCCCTTATTAAAATTTAGCCTGTCTGTTCTGTACTTGGCTAATGGATAAATTATTACAATTATTTATAGTTAATTTTTCTGTCTGAAAACAAATGTATAAAACTTCTCTATGAGTTATAGTAAAGTGGGATGGAGTCAAGATACATACGTGGGGTGTCTTGTAAGGAAACTTCTCTACAAAGTTATCCCATTGAATATTATGATGGACTTTCTAAAATGAATGGATGCTACCCAATAGCCTTCAAGCCCTTACCAGTCCATGATTAATATATTTGATTACAAGGCAGCTTTTGAACGATGTAACTTAGGTTCAGAGAAGTTTGATTTTAGCAATAGCGCTTAAACTTATATACTGCTTCAGTGTCTTACAGCCCTCTCCAGGTGGTTACAGTGTCAGCTATTTTCCCCAACAATCTGGCTCATCATTTTACTGACATCTGGAGGATGGAAGGCTGAGTCAACTTTGAGATGGTAGGACTTGAACTGCCAACTGCTGGCAGCCAGCAGTCAGCAGAAGTAGCCTACAGTACTGCATTCTAACCACTGCACTATCACACCTCATTTTGCTGTTTTTTTTTTCTAAACATGCAAGGCTATTGGAAACTTCAGTCAGTCAGTTCTAGTCACTTTTTCCAAAATTTACATAGCTTTGGAGTTTATTTAGATAAAAGCCGCTCTGCATTTAGCAGAGAGTAGTATGGTGTAGTAGACTATTCATGGAAGGGAATAGGATCAACAGGAAGCAGACTGGAAGTAGCCATAGCCAAGCCAAATACTGTATTTTGTACAGTAGCATTTTAGTAGCTCTAGCCCACAATGCTTGCGCTCTGGGGATTCTTCATATGGAATTTGCTTCCCTCTGAAATCTACAGCACTCGATCAGCACTGATTACTTTTGTACTCCTTTCGGGTTTTGCTGCCCAGGGAATTCTGGGAGTTGAAGTCCATACTTAAAATTATTTAGGTTGAGAAGAGTAGCGAAACCCATAAATTCAATAAGCTCTCATTCTTCTCCTGTGGATCGGTGGGGGGGGAGTATTTCGCTCCGCAAATGACTTCCTGTTGCCATAGCAATTGTCTTACTTCCGGACCTTCCCTTTAACTCTGACGCAAAATGCAAGGGACCGGCGTCAGAAAAGATGGGCGCCCTTAAATAGGAATTACTAAACCAATCGGAAAGGAGGAGCCGGTGGGCTCCCCGGATTCGCCCGTCTTCCTCCTTGCCGTTGGAGTCGCCTCATGCGCGAGGTGAGTTGCTTGGCGCGAGGTCTTGGAATGGGGTTGGCGGGGTTAGAGCCGTTCGGGAGCAGAGGGGGTGAGTGGCGACGTTGTGCCGCCGCCTCGGGTGCGGAGTTGCGAAGCTCGACTTCCTCAGGGGGCCGAGGAATTCAGCAGCCCCTCGGAAACAGGGGCGGTCCACGGGGAAAGCGGAAGACGGGAGAATTCTGGGCAGGTCAACAAGGAAACGCCGCTTTCGCATATCAAACACAGGAAGCTCGCGGGAGCCTTCGAGCTGTTCGGTGTGTAGTTCCATGAGGGAAGACCACGAAGCGGCCGAAGATCTTTTCTGACTGGGAGTATCTCGGTGGAAGTCTTGATTATGGACTTAAAAGGATCCTCATGCATTGCAGCTCCCACGTCAAGATGCTTCTCTTTAGAGAATTCCCGATGTACGGTGGCTCAACCCCTGCTTTAAATACTTTTTGCGAAGGAGAATTTGTTCCCTAATTTGTTCCCGAAATCAAATGCCCATCTTCTGTTTCTTGGCCACCCCCCCACCCCCCCAGAGCAGCAGACGTTTATGCAGGATAGTCTTTCAGATATATTCCAGATCTTGGCTGTACCTAAAATAAGTTGCCTAAGTACTACGGTGAGAAACGGACTCACCAGTCAGAAATTTGTCATCAAGTGAAGCAGCAAACAGTTCATTACAAAATACATTCTTGCAAGAGCAGGTGGCTAGCAAGTAGGCACAGGAATGCATTTCTCCAGCTTTTTATTCCCTCAACCCCGAGCACAAATCCCTCCCCTGCTGGCCCCTTTGACAAAGACTAAATAATTTAATTAATTAATTATTTTATTAATTAATTTAAATAATTTAAACAAACATAACATGCATAAAGGCAAAGTTTCCCCTCACTCATATGTGCTAGTCATTCCCAACTCTAGGGGGCAATGTTCATTTCCGTTTCAAAGCTAAAGAGCCAGCACTGTCTGATGATGTCTCTGGTCATGTGGCCAGCATGACTAAATGCCAAAGGCACACAGAACACTTGCCTTCCCACCAAGATGGTCCTTGGGTTTTTTCTACTTGCATTTTTACATGCTTTCAAACTGCTAGGTTGGTGGAATCTGGGACAAGTAACGCGAGCTCACTCTGTTACGTGGCACTAGGGATTTGAACCGCTGAACTGCCGACCTTTCTGATCAACAAGTTCAGCGTCTTAGCCACTGAGCCACCATCCCTTATGACAAAGACTACAGGGTTACAATCTTCTCAGAACACCTGTTTTCCCTCTCCATGAACTTCCCCATGTTTAATCTGTCCCCACCATATTTTGCCCAGTTCCCATTTTTCTAGACTACTCTTTGTCCTTTTTTAGATTTATTTCTTAACCTACGCTTCCTGTTTCCTTACAGTCCAAGCAGCATAAACATAATAAATTGAAACAAACACTATCTTCATCGGTTTCTTATACTGCTAGATTTGCTAGATACTAGATAGTGCTAGATTTCCGAAAGCACAGAGAGAGCCTGCCCCATTGTATATCAAGGGGAGCTGTGTGCAGAGGATTTCCTCTCTTAAATTCTTGGGAGTGCTTATTAGTCAAGAGCTCATTTAGAAAAATAACACGTCTCTGGTGATTGGAAAAGCCCAACAGAGACTTCATTTCCTTAAAGTCCTGCGAAAAAATTAGGTGGAACAACGGCTGATGACCTCTTTTTATCGGTATACCATAGAAAGTGTCCTCACATATTGTATTACAGTATGGTATGCTGGTTTAACAGCTGCGGACAGGAAGGCACTACAGAGAGTAATCAATTCGGCACAAGAAACCATTGGTTGTCCTCTGACACCACTGGATGACATCGCCAGATCTCGCTGCTTTAGCAGAGTAAGGAAGATACTCAGAGATGATTCACACCCTGATCAGCGTCTCTTTGCACTTCGGGCAGAAGACATCGAAGTATAGCCAGCCAAATAGGTTTAAAGATAGTTTCTATCCTTGGGTTGTCAGACTTTTAAATACAACCACAATCACTCCATGCACACACTAGTTTTTTTCTTTTTCTTTCTTTTATCGTTTCTGCTATAATTTTGCAACAGTGAGGTTAAAACCAATTTTGTTGTACTTGAGTACAATGACAATAAAGATTATACTTATACAACATTCTCAATACTGAAGAGTAGAATGTAAACACACCTTTCTATTGACGTAGTTCAAAACTGCATCCATGTTTTGTAGTAGTTATGTAATATTGGTAAGATAGATTCACTGTAACTATCTTTCATGGCAATCCTTTAGTTTACTTTATTGTCATTGCAACTTGTACAACTAAATTAAATGCGATCTTCAGTGTACAATGACAGTTCAAATTGTGGTTGTTAAGAAATCATGTGCAGTCATTAAGCACAACACCAGGTGGTGGCTGGTTTCCTCATGGACTTGACTTATTGCAAGCTGGCAGTGAAGATCACAAGTGATGATGATGTGACTGTGGGAAACGGTGATCATTGTAACTGTGTGCTGGTTGCCAAGTGCAAGTGGGAACACTGCGACAGTCGCAACTTCAAGGACCAACCATAAATCATCTTGTTGAGTATTGTTGTAACTTCGAATGGTTGCTGAACAAGAAGTCACTAAGTGAGGACTTCCTGTATAGTCAAAAGCCTTTCCCTGTCTTTCATGGTTGGCAAAGCATAATGATACCCCTGATGACAACAATCCAACCAATCACTTGGTCTGCTGGCAAACCCATGTCTTCAGGCTTTTTGAAAGAATGTCGGGAGGAGGAGGGCAACCTTATTATTTCTGCAAGGATGATATTCCACATATATCTTCAATTCCTCACAACTTAAAAAGAACGCCCGCACGACATCCTCTTTTTCTTCGTCTCCCTCCATTTTCTCCGCCGCCTCCTTCCTGCAGGGATAGTAATCCATGGCTCCCCCAGGGGCCTAGCTGCCACCTCTGGTATTTTATGAGAACATATAAAATTGTCTGTAATAGTCTTTTCACATTTCAATCTAAATTATAACAAGGCTTGCTGACTATAGATGCCCCTTGCCCCACAGAGTTCATCCATGTGCGCAGCCATCTTGAATGGCAGTTGGAACTAACTTAACTTCATTAAGCTCTTCTGTGTGTTCTCTTTCTAGAGATGGTGAAGGATGATGTTGTGGCCAGCTTTTCCAAAGACTAAATAAAGGCTTGCCGACTATAGATGCCCTTGCCCCACAGGATTCAATCAAGGGGGGGGGGGGGAAATCCAATCTGCATTAAACACTGAAAAAAGGAATGCCCAGCCACAGCAACCATGTGCACAGCCATCCCATTTATTTTGGGAAAGCATGTTTATATTCAAAGATTACTATCCTCATTACAGATGAGGCCCTCTGGATACCATTATACATTATTTCCTGTTTCAATTACTAGTTTTTGCTTGCTGGCCTGTTGGAAATTGCTTCATTATCACCTTAAAGACTACAGTTTGTGTACCCATTATGAATCTACTGTAGCTATGAAAATCATTCAACAGCAGTGTTATGCAGCTCTTTTAAATTCTATAAATCAGCTTTATTTTCATAAACTTCTAGCATACAGATAGAGCCATCCAAGGGCAATTAAGAAGTAGGATAACAACAACAGATTTTGGAAGTTTCAATGTCTCAATGAAATTTGGAATGAAAAACATATATAACTTGAATTTACAGATCATGTTAAAGCAAGTTTAATATGTCTGATCTCATATATAAAGTATGATTTACACCTTAATACTTTATGTTAGGCAGGCTATTTGTATTTTCTCCCCCTGACTGTGCTTTAATGCAGTATATTAATGTAGATATTTTCTTCTGAATCTATACAACAATTGCTTAAAAATATGGAAATATGATCATATATGCCTTAAAAATACAATAGATTCATTGTAGTGTTTAGGGAAGTAACTCAAATGGCTCCCACTGTGATGCTGCTTTCAACTTCACTGTGATTCTTGCAGACCTACTTTACAGAATTGTTTTAAAGAAAAGAAAAATCTCCAATCCAGAATTTTCCAAACCTGTTCATAAATTGTCTTTTTCTAAATGTTTTGAAGTTTTTGCTTGTTTTCAAGTAATTGGTTTTTATTTTGTGTGATGAAAATGAACATAATATGCTATTTAGAGTCAAAATTATAGTAAGCAAAAATTTGAAGTTGATGCTTCCCTGAAAAACACTTAATGCTAAGCATAATTGGTTAAACATTTATCTATTTAATTACTGTGGTTTTATATTATCTTTCTGAAAATAGGCTAGTAAGAACATTTGCCTACCAAATATATAGGTTTGTAATTGTCTCCAATTAGTGTAACTTGTCTTGCTTGGAGATAAGGAAAGCACCAAATAAATGCAAGCATTTATGTATGTATATCTTCATTCTATTTTTTGTATCTTGCTTTTTAAAAAGAGGCATCCAGGTACTTCGATATAACTGCTGTAATAATTAATAAAATAAATAAGAATCCCTTTCCTGCTATCCAATCCAGTTTCTTTTTTGATTCTAGAACTTGATAATTTAGTTTTCTTCTTAGTAAGTTTTTTTTTAAGTTTAAATTTGGCTTACAAAATTTTCTATTCTTATTGTTCGGAGCTAATGAGATAAATTTTAAAATATCTAGTTCTTTTGCATATTTTGATGCACATCAACTCTTGCCAGAAAAGCCAATAAAGTAAAGTAATGGAAATCAATTCAGAATTGCTGGTGGGTATCAAGTTGAATTTCTTGATAAATATGTATAATTAAATTGGAGAATGCTGCACCTTTTAAGGTGGCATATTCAGTAACCATATCTTTTTTGCAAGCAGAGATTTGTTGGGGTCTAGCTTTAAACATAAATATTAAATTAGGAATGATTTTGGTGTGTTAATATTTATGTGTCATTTTTTTTCTGTGACAGAATTATGGATCCAAACTTGTTACGAGAACGAGAACTTTTCAAAAAACGAGCCCTCTGTACACCTGCTGTAGAGAAACGTCCAGCACCTTCTTCTGATTCCTCATCTTCTAAAAAAAAGAAAGCCAAAGTAGAACAGAGTGGTTCATCAAGTTCAAAACCAAATACAGGTTAGTGGAGGCAGAGGGAAATTTGAGTAAACAATTGATGCATATATCTCTTGGTTGACGGGTGCAGGTAATAATAGCATGTTGACTTGCATAGATAGCTGGCATAGAATAAGGTGAACATATTGGTCTAAAACCGAATTTTTGGATGTGGCATGTGAAAATGCATATGAAAACTGATAACTATTGCTCTTACTGTTAGCAGGGAATGTTGCATGTAGCATGATTGTGGCTGGTAACATAGTCTATTCTTACTCTACTCATTTAACATATCTAAAATTGTTATGTGAAAGTCTCAATTGGCTACGATAGGTGATGAAGCTAAATATCCATGTCATCCATTGGCAAGTCTGATATTTGGAAGATTACAATTAGGAATATGTAAATGTAAAGAATATAGAGCATGAGTTAAAGAATAAATTGTATAAAAATTAAATTTGTATTGAAAGGAAGAGAAAATTATGTAATAATCTGAATAAAGGTAATCAGATTTTATGTAGTGGAGCTGATGAACACTTGCATTGAAATGAAGCTATAACTTTTATGAATGAAAGAGCTAAAATGTGCCGTATGTCAAAAGATGAATGTCATCTAAATTATGGATACAAATAAAAGTTGGAATCCATGAATTGTTGATAGTTGTATGCTATGCTGCAGTGTGTAATGTAATGGAAGAACCAGAAATGACTATGGAAAAAATCATTGCACATGAATCCAGGAGAAAAATTACGCTGCAAGGTAACATGGACATATGGGAGAAAAGCAAGTAAAGAAAAAGTGGACTATTCAGAGACCCAAGAATAGCAGTAGCACTTGGACTTATATTCCACTCCACATTTCCCAGTAAGACTGAAGAGTGGATCTTGGAAAAGAAGTGTCCGGGAAGAAAATGAAAGAAGTGAAAGTAACAAGAGTGAAAGTATAATAGCTATAAGAAAGCAAATATGATATACTATAAAAATGGAATGGAAGGGAGCAATAAAAAAAAGTTCTTGTGGAAGTTCTGCAGAGAAATCAGAATTGTGATACTGAGTGCTAGGAATGAATGTATAGTTATGGTAATAGGAAATAAGGAAAAAGATTATTGGTGGATTGATGAAAAAAAGCTATGGATAAAAATATGCACATAAGAGCGATCACAGAAATAATACATTCTGGAAATGGGTTAAGAGGGCTAAACATGGAGTTTCCAGCAGAGTGAATAAGATGTTAAAAATTAAGCGATGAAATGATTTGCATTGAAACTGAAATGAACCAATGCATAAGTGATTTGCATTGTACCGTGTTTCCCCGAAAATAAGACAGGGTCTTACTTTCTTTTGACACACATAATATCGCCTTGGCCTTATTATGGGGGGGGTATTATTTTGGGGATGCAGGAGGCGGCAAGCATGTCCTGTCGCCCCCATCGCCTCCCCTCCCTGTTCTTTGTGCCGGCCGAGTGGCTGGCCGGCACTGCTCTGACGTGTCCCGTCACCACCCTGCGTCAGGTTGGGCTTTCTTTGCGAGGGGGAAACAAGATTGGGCTGGCGTGGGGCAGTTTCTCCAGTGAAGCATCTGATTCATCCCCAGGGGTGAGCGTTTTGCCTCCTCTCTGCCCTGGGTTGGAAGCTGCAGAGGAAGCCTGCCATGCCCCGCGAGGGGGGGAGAAGACATGGCAAGAGAAGCCATGCCTCGTTCCACATCTCTCACTTCTCCCCCCTCCCCCACCTGCCACCCCTCTCGCTAAAGAGACAGTGGGGAAGGGAAGCAGCCTGGATTCTTTTAGCATTGGGGCAGGGTGGGAGGAGTTTGGCTGCAAGACACGTGTCCTACCCAAGACTTGCAGCTACATCGTGTTTCTCGCTATTTTGTCCAGGGAAGCACCCTGTGAAAAAAAATCTCACAAGTTCAACTTCTCTGGACAAAACAGTGAGGAACATGATGAAGCTGCAAGTCTTGGGTGGGACGCAATTCAATTGCAAGAAAATGAAATGCCCGAAAAAAAAGTAACATTTAATGATTTAATTACAAGTGAATTTTAAGATGCAAAAGAAATATAAAAAGGGATAAGAACAAACCGCAATGCAGGAACTAAGAATTTCAAGATGAAAACTCTGAAACTAAATTAAGATTTGAGGAAAATATATATTCATGCACACTGTTAAAAGGGTTAAAAAGACAAACAGAAAATGTTTACAGAAGGAAAGCAACAAAAATCAGAGCCACAAATTTAATGCCTTAAACTGAAGAAAAATATGTATATCTACACAAAAAGTTTACACGAAGAGCACAACAAAAAAAATTGAAACCATAAAACTGAGAAAATATAATATCAAACTGGACACACTAAAAAAGTACAATACAAAGAGACACACAAAATGTTTTACAGAGCACAAGAATTCAAAACGAAGCCGAAAACTCAAACTGGAATGTGAAATCCAATGCAAGCAAATACAACGATAAGAGCCTGAGACAATTATTGAATCCCAATTTTAGGTATTCCGTCGAATATTGGCCACACTTTCTCTTCTCGGCCATGTTGAGAGGTCACAGTTACATTAACATTACAGCTGATATCACAGGGGACAGTCACTCAGCATGCGATGTTTCAAAAGAAGCGTTCATCCCTCAATCTCTGCCCATTCTGGCCAATGGCACGCCACTGTATGGGTAGAGTGATAGAGGCTGCTGCGCAATGCGCATGAAGGTGAGCGATCCGTATTCACATATGTACAGCATTCTGTACGGAAGCTAGCTGGAGGAACATTTTAAAACACAGTTCAATCCACTAATAGCGAGCGATCTGATGTTTTTTTACGACAGTCTCAAAAATGTCCCCAAAACGTCTTGCTCCATCACTCCCATATCCCCCCCTTCATTCCTTTGCCCTGTATCACCCCTTTTTGTTCCATCGCCCCCATAAAAAACGAAATCGCCCCCGGGGGGGTCGATATCGCCCAGGTTAAGAATCATTGCTCTAGACTAGAGGTGTCAAACACTTGGCCTGTGGGCCGAATTCATCAGAAGCTGACCACCCTCACCCCCTGTTTAGTGAAGGGGGGGGAAGTTGTGATATGTCATGTGATGACAATGTGAGGCTGCGAGATTGATGCCCCTGCTCTAGGCAAAAGGAAAAGTAACAATAATAAATCCTAAACTTATAGAATTCTGCTTGAAAAGGTACAACAGGTGACAATTAACAAAAGTGCAGCTCAATTTTATATTGAACAAGGGTTTTCAGAACAAATATGTGTTCTTCAATAGGAAGAAAGTTTATTTGCATATTTTGAAAATGCATGCAATAACATGAATAGATTTGAATTATGGAACATTTTGCATGAAAGGAAAGTTGAAAAGTAGTTACTGAATACGATGTAAGTATTATATGATGAAAATAAAGGTTTGGAAAGTTCATTGAGTAATTACATAATGAATAGAAAGTGTCCCATTGGTGTAAGAAATTGTTGAGGGTCTTTAGAAGAATGTATGTTAATTAATGTATGTTGGAAACTGGATGATGCTGTGTTGTTAATTGAAATCAAAAATATTTATAATAGCAATAAAGCTTATGTTGTAATGAGATACATGGAGTTTACACATAAAGTGGGGGGGTTAAACCAAATTGATGAATTTGTGTACATTGATGACAATGTATACTAAAGATGAGGAAATGAAGAAATTTTAACAAGTGTAAATGTTTGTAGAAAGACAATGGTTGACATGAGGTCTGTTAAAAATGTTTGACAAAAGGAATAAAAGGAGACAAAATGGTTGTTTACAAGAGCATGTACTTTGCCACTTTGTTATATGGGCGGCGCACAAACCCAAGGAGGGGAAGGGAAACACAAGAACTACAACAAAAAGTACAGGGAATTTAAAACAACCAACAGCCACACGATTCGAGNAAATATATTTGATTTAAAATATATAACTTGGTATGAATGATAGGTGATGACTCTGAAAGGGATGCACGAAAGTTTTTTGTAACCAATTGACACACTTTCTACAATTTGTAATGGAAGATGGTTTTGTAGTGTTTTTTGTGTTTTGTTTGTGCTAATTCAAAAATAAAAAATTCTTATAAAAAAAAGAAATTTCAGTAGAATTAATATATGCAGCTGAATGCTAACTAAACATATGGTTTGAAATAAAATATGTACTATTTACTGACTGGTTATTATAAGAATGAAATTTTATTTGGTTATACAAAGAATAAAAATAGGCTATTTATGAAGTTCACTGGATTGCTTTAAATAATCCTAATTAGAATTCTTAGAAGAAAGCTTTGAATAAAATCCATAAATTTCTGTAAATTTGGTTGCAATCTTAAATCATTTGTATATATGTGGGGAGGGGGCAAGCCTCAATAACCTTCTGTCTTATGTCTGAAATACATAACATTGCACTATTATCAGCTGATATAAAATAAATTACTTGTATATATAATAAATTACATATTACATACCAGTGGCTAGTTCAGATGGAATTAAGTTTGCCGAAGTTTATTTATTAAACGGTTACAAACCCAATTAATTTCTTTAAAGCAATGCCCATGTTAACAACTTACTGATACAATGGCCAGATGGCACGGCTAGATGAAGAGATCAGTTTACTGCTTGGCTAATAAGGTTTTGCAATTTAGTTATTGTATAAATTTGGGAGGGGATATCTTGCTAGCATTTAAAAATACACTGTCCTGTTTATTAAATTTTACCTTCCAAAATGAAATTAATATAAGGAAACACAACATCAGATCTAATTTACAATTACTGGGTATGTTAGTCTCTTTTTAAAATGGATGGTCATCAATTCTTCATGAATGCACAGATGGCAAGATTCTCTATTATCACAAGACAAGCACCTCTGCATTTAACCACCATGCTCATAAGCGTCAGAATCAAAAGCAACTATAATTTAAAAATGCATCAATAAGGGGTCTTATGTATTCTGATTTTCTGAAAGATATTCATTTTTTGCAAAGAAGAAAATAATTATAAGGCATTAATTCTTTAAAAAAAAATATAGACGTACCTCTTTGCTGAAAAGATGCTGGAACTGTGCTGATCTGCTTTTTAATACAGCTTCTGGTACAGCTAAGATGGAGCTTTGCTACTATTGGCTGAAGCAGAATGCAGCTGACAGCTTCCTTTATGCTTATTTGCATTAGACCCTTACCCAACGAGGAAATCATTCATAAATCTGAAATATATAAAACAGCAGATTACATTCTACCTACTTTCTTAACCTCTTTAAAAGCTTATTTAACAATGAAATATATTTAAAACAATGTGCCCTATTTTGCTTTAGTTTGTTTTGATATTTATTGTTTTAATTTATTCAGGGTTTTTTTCTAATAGCAGATTAAGCTGCTGTGAAACATACACATGTAAAGTCAAGATCTTAATAGAGGAGAATTACATATACGCATGTTTGAACACAAACATTCATATATTTTAACTATAAAGATACCTTATTACTTACCATTATTCTTTGTCTTTACTTTATGATATAAGCTATTGAAATGTGTGAAATTAAAGTAGTGATTTCTGAATTGGCTTAATAAGATTTCATTTCCCATTTCCCATTGTCTTCAGGCCTATTTCTGTAACTCTAGTTTGTCATTTAATCAGATGATAATTGTAAAAAAAACAGCATGTTTAAACATTTTGTTCAGATTTATATATTACTAAATTTGTAAACTGCTTTTTAGTAGCTCAGTATAACTGACAAAAAATGACAAGCACAACTATATATGCAAAAGTCATATAATAAAATATTATTAAACACAGTTGGAAAAAAAGATATATTTTGATATTTCCAGGTATTCAAAATTATTTTCAGTGGATTTTCTTGACCAAGCAAATAAATTGGATTTCTTATTTGTTAAAACTATGAAAGAAATCTCAAAATTACCTTATAAAATGAATTTAAGAGAATATAACGAGACATGTAATACGTTTACAAATTCTTGTCAATGATATGGGAGTGATAAGCTATTACCACCTTCTAAGATTTTTTTTTCTAGTTTTATTGTTTAGTTTACAAATCTGGAATTTCCTCATGATCTTCCATCCCAGTACCAACCAGGCTAATAAACCCTGTTTAATTTTTTCAAGTTTCAGCTAGTCAATTGGGTACTGCAGTTTATTTTGATTCAATACATCATTTCATCTGGAACTAAAATGAAGCCAATATAAAGTAAACAAATGTAAAGTTATGATCATTTCCATTTTCTTCCTGTTGACCATCATTTTTTCCAGAAATGGTTTTTTAATATAATATTTAAAATCCTAATCTACCCATAGCTTTTTAAATGTTCTCTTCCCGTTGTCTAGACTCCGTGCTTTTCTTGAACAATATGGATTACTTAGAATCTTTTGTATTTTTATTTGATTGCAACTGTTTTAACCAAAAAACCATTGAGGCAGTTTTGAACATATTCCTTTTCTTCAGGGAAGTTTTCAGTACTTCAAAACACAACATCCTTCTGGATCATCTCACCATGATGGGATGCAAATATAGCTGTGCTATGTTTGCAGTTCTTTTTCAGGCTAAGTAACAGGAAGATATAGTATGAGCTACTTCCAGCTTAAGTAACCTGGAACCATGATAGTGTACACTGTACACATTTTCCAGAAACCTCTTTTCCATTTCGTAGGTTTCTTCTATAGCCCCTCATTTTTTAAAAAATTGTAATATGTAAGCTTGGAGGGAGGGAGGAAGAGAGAGGGAAAGAGACAGAGTGGATTTCTTTGGGGGACACCAAACATAGATGTTTTCCTGGACACCGTTTTTTTTTTAAATGTAACTTTCATAAATTGCTTCCCGTATTTTTTATGATCAACCAATTGATTTAAATTCTTAGTTGTCCTAATAGTAGTTTCCTATGAGAAGAAAAATATGCATTCTTGTAATTCAGTATAAATCGAGAAACAGTTTATTTTGTAATTCTGTTTTAAGAAAGTTAAAAAAAAAACTCAATTATTATTATAGAGATTTTCAGCTGTCTGTGTATGAGTCAGATCTATTGTGATTACTTTTAATTGAGTGTATTTTTTAGGATGTTAATTTTAATTAAAGTGCATTAATTTGTTTTTTGAATGAATAGTTTTGGTGCTTTAAGACCGGACCAAGAGATGTATAGCAATATAGTGAACAGTAAGAAGACATTTGTAGATTTTTTTTTTTTTTTAAGAGTAGCATGTTTACCGGTAATTTGTTAACTTGAAAATGTCTTGTGCTTTAAAATGAAATTGAAAATGAATTGTGCTATAAGAATTTCTGATTGTGCTCGCTTCGGCAGCACATATACTAAAATTGGAACGATACAGAGAAGATTAGCATGGCCCCTGCGCAAGGATGACACNATCCAGATAATCGGCTTCATCCAAGGACCGTCGGAGCTGAAAGGCCACCACTTTCTCAACAACCTTCCCAACAAAGGGAAGGTTGGAGACTGGATGGTAGTTATTCAGAATGGCTGGATCCAGAGATGGCTTCTTCAGGAGGGGTCTCACCACCGCTATCTTTAGTGGACTAAATTTAGTGATTATTTAAAATATATTTGTTCAAATATGAAGAAACATGGAGATGTAGCATTAAGAACAAATGAGTGCTAATTAATGTCGGTTGAATTCAGCACTGAATAACCAGTATGAAAGAAGCATATTGAAGTGGTTTGATAGAGAGAAAGAAATAATAAGAGATGAATGTGTTTAAAGATAGCATAAAATTGGGGTTGGATACAGTTGGTGAGATGCTCAAAAAGAGAGACATGTGAAGCTTAAAAAACAAGGTAATTTATGAACCAATGTGTCTAACGTTGTACATGCAAGGATATTAAGCAAGGACTACCCATGTTTTAGGTTGTGCATACTTATTTACTTGGTGGGCTTTCTAGCTGTGCAATGAATGGAATGGTCAGCAATTTGCGTTTTATTATATTTTAGTGTTTTTTAAAAGTTCCTTTAACACTAACCTAGCTTTCTATTTCTAAGATAATATCTTCAGGCATGTGACTTTTCTTTTTTGGGAATGTTCCGGATCTTGGGATTTCTGATGGAGTCTTTTGTAATTGATGTAGGAGCAGGGAGTCAAAAGTCCTGCTGATGTTTGCAGTAGCACAAACAAATTAAATAACTGTTATATAATAAAAAACAATCTTTACTATTCTGTCACTTCTTGTTGCATAAATGTGCTTGCTTGTTTTCTCCTTTCCTTTTTTAATCTTCACACTGACGATCTTATTGTTTAAGGCTGATAAAATAAGCAACGTAAGTGGTAGAGGTGATAGAGAATAATGTGGCCAAGGAATTAAAATCCTAAACTGATTTGATATGAATTATTTCTACTGATTGAAATTGAAAAAGGACTGCTGCCCCATTTTATGATCCCAAATTTTGAAAGCCTGTATAGCATAGATTTTGGCATGGATGACTCAATGTATAGCTGCTGTTTTGATGGCTGTCCCATGATTTAATATTAAATTTAAATCAAAATAAGGGAACAATGTTACTGACTTATTTGCTATATGTTTTTAATATATTAGATTAAATATTAAAAATGAAAAGCTGGACTGGATAAGGAAGCATTAACATTTTCTTTGGCTCTGTTTCTTAGCTGACTTTATCAGTACTTGTGTAGGGCTCACATGATCATTATATAATTAGCTATGGGGAAATAATTGCTAAGAAACTAGGAAATGTCTACTGAGAAAAAGTGTTTTGATGTACAACTAATAATAATCCATATATTTTACGTATCTAATTTTTAACAGATTTGCAAAAGATTAGTTTGAACCCGGCATAGTCTCTTGTTTGAGGTAATGGAGTATCAAATTACTATTTTGATACATTAAGGATATAATCAAATTGATTGCATGGCAAATGATACTTTTATATTCTGTGATATCTTAATATGCTTTCATTTATTCTGACTGCATTTTAAATAAAGCAAAAAGCAATTCATTACATGAACAGAAATTTATTTAATTAGTACTAGTCAACAGCAGTTCATTATAAAACAAAACAACCCTCTGTTTTCACACCACACAGTGACATTATCCATTAGCAAGTATTTTGTAACCTTTTCAGGTTTCTACCCATTGGCAAAAAAGGGACTGCTAATAGCAATATTTAAGGCTAAACAGGATCTGAATTGCTTGGTCCTAAAATACAAGAGGCTTCAATATAATGTTGAACATCTGTTTGTTTCCGGTGCTGAAGATCATTCCACCACTACACCACTTCCGTTTCATGCTTTCTGAAGCTGTTCATCATAGATCTAACAGGATTGGGTTCATTTTCTAAGTCTTTCATGGTTTTGTTTTTAACACAACAGCAGCAGTCAAGCAGCTCATATAAAAAGGCTAGTACCACCAAACATATTACAGTAAATATAAATATAACCAGGATGATAAAACAGGCAGTGTTCCAGTTGTCATGGAAAGGGTAAATTTTCTGCACTTGAAAGCCAAGATACTGATAGAGGGATGTGGTTTCATTCCAGCGGCTAATGTTGAAAGTTGCCATGTTTGGAAATTCCTCTGATTTCTCTCTCTGCAATAAATTAAAATATATAAATAGTTAGCGTTATTTTCTCCTTTACTAACAAACTAAAACTGAAAAAGTTTTAGTTTACTGCATGTCATAAATGTTTCTTTATAAAACACAAGTAGACAATTTCCCCAGGGTCAGAGGCCGTAATTCCTTTCTTGGGAGGTTTTCATGTGATATCACCAGAAAGACAATGAGAACCCCTGAAGGGACAAAATTAGTTTTTTAGCCATATTGAGTAATTTTTGGAGTTTTAGGGATGGAAATTAGAGTAATTTACCATCTTCCTTTGAGAGAGGAAGTTAAATTTTGGTACCAAATTTTGGTAGTGCAGGGTTCCAAAGAATAAACAAATAGAATATAGCCATTATAAACAGCAAAACAAAAGTCCTGCTTTTTAAAGTGATGGTGCTAAAGGGTCACCAAGCCAATTTTTTCATATATCATCATCGGTTTCCTGATTCACTTAGCAAGTAAGCTGGGAGGATGCTGTTGCAGTAAATACCAGTAGAAAGTTTTTTGCCTGAAAAGCTAGATAATGAACAATCTCTGCTTTTTTACAAATGGCATTATAATAACATAAAACCTTCAAGCTGCTGCCTGCATTCATTTTGGAGTGTTTGACTGGCATGCTTGTCATACTCATTCTGAATAATCATTTGCAATTCAGTTCTAGTTGAGAATGTGATTCTTTATCTACAGCTCACAGTATAATTGTATATGTGACTGCACAAATTTATTACATTTATTTGGATTACTCCGCGATAAATCATTACAGTATCAAATTACCATCTTGTTTTCAAAATGTTTTTTTAAGAAGCATTTGAAGACATTTGCTGATGTAAATGGACTTACCAATGGTGCAGTATTGTTGATTTCTGGTTTCATCTTTATTGACAAAGCCAAAGTGGCATTGATAAAGCTAAATATTCACTATGGTGATTTTCTGAAAAACTCAGTTTGTCAGCAATGCTCTAAGGCTGCTATACTGAGAGGATGCTATGTTGCTGGGCTTGCAGAAACAGTGCCTTTCAATTCAGTGCTGGCAACATCATAATACCAGGAGGGACAGGCATGTGGGAAGAGGCCAGGGATGTTGTGGGTACCAGCAAAGGTTAATAAAAGGCTACTGGGAGGATGCATATAAGTTGCTCACCTCAGCTTAAACTACAGTACTTAACTTTTTATGGACTCATCGCTAGAACAATAACAGTAGCATTAGATCAGTGTTACTCATATTGAATTACATAATTTCCCCTCTTTCCAGCTACTATTTAAATCAAAACTACGAAGAGGCATGGAAAAGATAAAATGGTAAAACATCTATCTCTGAAACTGGGAAAGCAGAATTTAATTGAATCTAGGAAGGGTTTTCTACTCAGTTCCTGGAAAACCTTTAAAACCATTTTAAAAAGTAGTAATTTATGGGAAACAATTTCCTTTTACTATAGAGCAGGGAAAAGAACTGGGTGGAAGTGACAAATCTTGCTCAAATCATATTAACCTTTGATAGCTATGTACAAGCCTCTAATTTATTACACTTGAAAGAAAGTATATAGAAGAGTTCAATAAAGATGCTTTTTCCAGCAGTATTTTACTTTTCATATATAATTCTGATCCCAGCCATCCAGATGATGCTGTGAACATTGGCTCTTCAAATGTCCTTTCCCAATTACAGGAGTCAGAGGATGTCTCACCGAGTATGACCGCTTCTGATATATATCAGCCACATTGTTAAAAGACAGCAGAGTTAAGCAGTGCCTGAGGAATGTAATATAATTGAGAGGTCTTTATGAGTTATATTAAAAGGATTCCAGATTACAGTCTGGTTCAGTGCCCTATTAACCACGCCTACCCTGCTGTTTCACTTTTTCGTTTCAACGAGAAGCTCTGAGAAAAAATAACACTGAGGAAGGAGCTGCCCACTCACAGCAGAATGAAAAGCCATGTAGGATCATGGAATTGTTTCAAAGGGAAAAAAGAAAGCTATCACAAATTGATATTTGCCCTTTTCTAAAAAGTTTAGATTTGAATTACAGACCATGGAAGTGTTTTTCAGAGACAATTCAAATTTTCAGAAAGAAACTAAACACAACTTTGTAATGTAAGTAGATTCCTTCTCAGTTTCTTATTATTTCCAATTACTGTACTAGGCAAGATTTGCAATTTCCTAAGGGAAGAATGTTCTAGAGCAGATTCCATTTCTAGGTATGTCTTAGATTGTTTTTACAGTCTAGGTCTAGGACAATAATTCTCTTTATAGGGTAGCTCTAAAGTTTGTGCAAATTGTAAATAGGATGATGGGAAAGTTTCCCAGCCATAGCTGTGCATCTCCTCCATTTGGGTCAGGGAGATAAATAGGATACATGCACTGCATGATCGTCTAAGGCTCTAATAATTATGTCTGCCAACTGATACCATCTATTCCATTCATTATTCTCTCAAGAGTCAAACTAATTCCTCCAAAAGAGAATGCTAGAAAATTTCTAAAGCTTTGTTTTATGATCACGGCAGTCTGCCGGGCAGTGATAAGTAAAGAACTCTAGCTAAACTGTTACAAAATCATTAACTGGGGACTGACAAAATTGTATGTCAGAAGTTATTCTACACAGAGATTTTAATGCTTCTGTTGCAGCTTTGTTAATTTCTTACGTCAGAGATTTTCATCCTTTTCTTCACCATGGACCCCCTTTAAATACCTTGTATGGCAGAATAACAGAACAGAATAACCGAGTTGGAATGGATCTTGGAAGTCTTCTAGTCCCAAACCCCTGATGAAGCAGGGAATCCTCTATCATTTGAGACAAATGGTTGCCCAATCTCTTCTTAAAAACTTCCAGTGTTGGAGCATCTGCATTGTGCCCCTCCCCCCCAGGGATCCACAGACTATAGGTTGAGAACCACTGTCTTAGATGTAGATTCATCCTCTACTAGTGAAATATCTGGATCAAGTTAGATAGCAATTTACAATGTAAGTAATACAGTTCTATATCTGTAACAAAAAGAAACTAGATTCAGTGTGATAGAAGAATCCTGTGGATGTCAAATCCAAAGTAATGGCTTTGTTCAGAGTTTCTTCTGAATCAGATTGAATAGAAAGAACAGGCAGGGGGAAATCATTACAATGCTACATTTCATGTATTTATTTATCTATCCAAGAATCAGGTTTCTATATGACACCAACAGGAGCTGTGAATTAAAGATAGTTCTTCGTATTATCTTGGGAAGAATCCCAACTCCACATTGATTACTAATCTCTAGTCAAAGATAATTGGAAATACACTTCTGGAGTAAAACCAATAGCCAATTTATTCTAAACTAATTTTTGAAAACTATATATTAGATTCAAATGAAGTATTTGAAGGGGACTCAGGAATTATTCCATTCAACCCATTTGAAAATTAATGAACTACAATATCTGGACTGCAAAAAGCAAGAGAATTGCTACATAACAAAGAATAGTATAGAAAACATGAGTGCTTCTATCTAGTGATCATCCAGATTTCTGCCATCCAGATAAGGTAACCCTAGGTTTGAATTTATGAAGAACAGTGTTGATTTTTTTCTCCTTTTCTATTCACAAGTAGCAGTCTTGATTTGGCACAGAGTTCTATGTGTGTGTGTGGGGGGCGGGGGGAGAACAAAAATGTTCATTGAGATCTGGGTAGACTGAACTTCTGTATGAATTTTCATGGCATTTACGTTTCTAGTTAAGTGACTTTAAAATATTCCTATTTATTTTCTTCACACATTAGTTTCATTTCAAAACTTGGAATCTATCCAATATGCACTAGTGGTTAAAGTGTTGGACTAGGCGCAGGAAAACCCAGTTCAAATTCAAGTTCAGAAAACATTTGAATGAAAGGAGGATCTACATTATACTTTAAATTTTAAAAGGGGAGCAAAGAGAAAAATAGCCCCAAAAGAAATAGAATGTTTTGAAAGTCTACAAGAAGATAATATAACTACCTTGAAACAAAAATATGAATTGTTACTCTATTTTTTATTTAAATTTTCTTATAAGTTTAAAAGAGAACATAACAAAACACAAGCTAATACAGAATATAGAAAGCAAAGAAAGAAAGAGAAAGAAAGAGAAAGAAAAGACAAAAGTACAGAACAAAAAGATGAAACTAGAAAGAAAGAGCTTCTGATTCCTACTACAGTAAATACAGGTATTAGTAGAAAATTAACTCTTACTATGATTTTAAAAGCTCATTTTTTTGCGGTTACCCACTTTTTTTCCTAATCCAAACCATAAATTATAAGTGGATTTTTCTGTTTGATGCAAAAACTTGTATAAAGGTAGCCATAAACATAAATACTGCCTTTTTTCTAATCAAGGAAGTTAATTTAGTCATCTCTGCAAATTCCATCATCTTCACCAACGATCCCCATATTGTGGGCAGTTTTAACTATATAATAATCTTGAAATTGTCATGTATAAAAAGATAGTTTCATCATTCTTTCTAGCTGTCCACTGATCCCAAAAGAAAAAAACCTGGTTTCTAGACTGTATATCTAGAATAACAATCTTCAACTGTTGTTCTGGATGTACAGTGTAGAGGGTATATATAAATCTTATAAAATTATAGCACAGGAATAGCATGTATGTTTACTTGTAACTCCCTAACTGGTTCTTTCCCTCTTTGGCAGCAGTAATATGCACTGATAGCCATGTATTCCATTTAGCCGCAGTAGTTTCCTTACAGTAAAGTTACAGTAAATTTACTATAGAATAGACAGAACAACTGCATATGTTCCAGATATAGCTTGTATTTACTAGAAGCAACATTGATAAGTGTCAAAATATTTAGAATATATTTAAAGTAATATTTGAGTCATGGAATATAGAAAGGTGTAAGTTAGCTAATGTAAGCTCTCCTTCAAGTTGACTTCTACAGCTGTGTTGTTATGTTGGCGACAGCTGTTTTGTCTAATAAGGCATGTTTTGTCTAATAAGAAAACAGTCTGTTTCATGTTAATATTCAATGTTTTTCTGGGAAACATCCCTGAATATTGAAATTTAATTTGGGTTGAAAAGGTAGAGTATATTAGTTTTTGACAGTGTGCAATTATTTGACACAGATATTTGCTGGTAATATAATTTTACTGTTAATTGCAATATTAAGCTCTACAAGTGTGCAAAAATTAAAAGACAACACATTTCAGAATTTTTAGAACTTAATATTTAAGGAGGAAATATAATATTTCTGACTTCAAAAATAGCTAGGCAGTTTTTCAAAAGGATAATGGATATCCTATTCATTACTCATTTTTATTTTAAATCTTACTTTGATAAAGTGAGACATATTATAGAATCTCAGGCTAAAGTTTATATTCAGGGTCACTTATGCTTATTTAACTATAAATAAATGGATTTTTGTCCTATTCTAAATTAAATATATAATATATATTTCTATATCCATGATGGTAATTTTTGTACTGGGAGTTAAAATTTTTGAAACAAATCATGTTCTGTCAGAATTAGAAATTTCAGTAGAATTGAGGAGACAGGAGCTGACGTCGCAATGACATGACGTGCGATCTCGGAGCTCCGAGATCGCAGTCAATACTTTTGTCGCTGGACGGTCCTTTTGGACCTAAACTGTCCCAAAGAGACCGTGACAGGGAAGAGTATGTCTTGCTGATCTCAGGGACACCACAAAGTCCCTGATTGATCCAAAAGAATCTCTTCTTGCTGGCGCCAAGCGGAGCCAAAAGCTGCTGAAGTTGGGATAGCTCTGGAACAGGAGGAAAGCGGAAAGAGAAAGTGTGTCCATCTAGTGAGGAAATCTTATTGTTATAAAAGAGACTGCCCCCCCCCAAATTAAAGCTAAATTAAATTTGAAAACAGAAGAAAATNTTGCCTGTATACTTTTAGTTTTGACTTTTAGTATTTATATTTTGCATTTCATTATTTTTATTTACTTAGTTGTCATATTTTCACGGTGATTTATAGAAATATATTTTCTAGTGAATTTATATTTTAAATAGTTACTAATGTCATTTTATATATACACACTGTTAAGTCTGAGCTGATGTGACTAGGCAGGTAAGAGATCGTGAAGATGAGGTAAATAATATTGCATGGGAAGTTTTAAGTTCTCTTAGTCAATTTCTGATGATGAATTCCTAAAGAAGAAGAGCTGTTATAATTTTTGCATGGTTCAGAATTAAACCCAACATCCTTCTGAAATTTGTTCACATGCTTAGGGATGCACATAAAATTTGACTGGAGTGGCCAAACTTTTACATGCAATTTGTAAATCTGTAGGTGGGTTCGATATAAAGAAAAGCATGAAGATTAGAACTGCCAGTATCAAAGTGCCTTTTTATAAGGGCAAATGCATTTTGAAAGTATGGTTGTTCAGAAAAGGGAAGTTAAGAGAAAAAAATAACATCGGAACTCTTTGTAATCTTTACGTTATGAAAATGGTTACCAGGAGAATTAATTATGCATAGAGTGGATGTAACAGCAGGATTGAGCCCATGGTCTAAGAGATTTAAGATCTCAGAATGCATTTCCCTGAAACTGGGATTATACACACTAACTCCTCTTTCTGAGTTGGTATTAGTGCTGTTACCACCCATCTTCCTGGGGAGTTACTTCTTTTAATATTTTCCCCAGTGGTCCCGCATGTGAGGCAGATAAGGGGTCCATAGCCTATTAGTGTCTGCAAAGAGAAGAAAAACTCAAAGCACCATTAAAAGAATTTCGCATAAAAGAAGGAGACTATACATTTGGGACAGATCCAAGGGGTGAAGGATCTGCTGCTCAGTATCCAATATATAATATCTATAAAGTAACTGGTTTCACTGATATAGTGAAGTTCACAGACAATAGTTTTAGAAGACCAATGAAGTTATTAACTAGTATACAGATAAAATATCTTATTACAGGCTCTTGGCTAAAACATTCCCCTATACTCTAGAGGCAAACAGAATTTCTCTTTGCTTCCATAGAACTCAAGGTCAATGGAAAAGCCGGAAGGAGGCTGCAACTTTGTCCCCGCAACTTGCTCCCACTCCCACACTTTTCCCCATGAGGATCCCTCAGGTGGCGTGGGCATCTCATAGTCTGTAAGCCCCGTCTATGGCACTTACCCACCTGTATCGGTCCCTGCATCTATGCAGTACCTGCCCACAACACCTTGCCATTCACTTATTACTCTTGTCCTATAAGAAGTTTTGCTTGACCTGCTTAAGCAATATGGCCACATGATGTTGCACTTTAGCAATGGAAATTCCAGTCCCAATTGCATTCATAACCCAAGGATTATCTGTATCTTTGTGCCTTTTCTATCCCTTGCTGCTGACACTTTGGTGTTCTTAGCAGAAAGTAAGCACATACGTGCTTACTGCTGTATCTGTGTAAGTTGTTTCTGCAGAAAGTTGTGCTGAATGCAGGATTGCTTGTAAGAACTGATATGATTTGAGCACTGGTGATAACAAAGCTTAACTGTAAATTCCAAGGTCTGGGAAAGACAAGGATAATGCTATTACTCTCATATTTATTTCATTTATTTCTCCAAATCCTTCTCTCTTTTTCCTCTTAATAATGATTCTTTTATATTACACTTCATTTCAGTTTTTAGATTTGGTTCCTGGCAGAGTCAAATGACTCTCTTCATCCCTTCTCATACTAACTATAGAAACTCCCTTTTTTCTTCCTTGGCATGTGAATGTTATTGATAGGAAACATGGAACATTTCTCAGAAATGTTTCTACATGGATTATTTTTATCCCTAACCCAAAGTTCAAAAAAGGAAAAGGAGAGACTTTTTTGCTACAAGAAATGTTGAGGAACTTTGGTTTGTTTTAATAAATAAACGGATTTTGTTACAAGGGTGACTATCCAAAGGAGCTTTCAACTGGGCTCATAACTGTTTCCCTAACCTTTTATATAGTAGTTTTGCAACCTGGTTCTAGTTGCAAATTGGCCCAAAAGAAGCACTATACTTCTAGAATGTAAAAAGAACCCCAAAATATATCTTGTGTAGTACTTTACCATCTTGGCATTCATTTTTTCTTACTTGCCAAAAAAAAGGGAAGGAAAACCTTACCTTGTGAATTTCTCTTTTTTTACCTCTGGTGGCATTCTTTTTGTATCAATCAGTGCATGTCTTAAAATAAGTGCTAGAAAGCCCTCCTATATATGCCAAAAAAGTGGCATAGTAATATTTTTAAGTAATATTTTTTGGATTATTGCACATATTGGGAAATTTGGGAACAAGTCATAGATGCTGTTAAAAATGGCTATAATGGAATAAGTGCTACCTATTAAAAATTGCTTTTAAATGGCAAATTTGGGGTTAAAAGAGGTGTTTTTTTAAAAAAACATGGCTGAGGCCCGATCTGATTTCCAAAGTACAATATTGCTTTTTGAATCTATTTTCTGTTTTAGCAAATGAAGCTCAGAAACAAGTAAGTTTGCTAAGAAGCTGAGTACAAAAAGTGCAGCCTATATCCCAAATGCCATCTTGCATATCTTCTCAAAAGCACAATAAAACACTGATTTCACAGATGTCAAAATACCAGTGCATATATTCACATACTACTAATAAAGTTTATCACATGCAAACATGCACTACATCAAAACAATAAAAGTTGCCCTACATTTTAAATAATATGAATGCACAGCATATCAAAAACACCAGTCTTGTTACCCACAACCTCCTCCAGCACCTCTAAGGCAGTCCCTAACATCAGGTCATCCATAGCTCCCTGTTCAGTCCCCCGTTCTCCGCTCGTTCAAAGACGACAGGCAGACAAATGTAAAAGGGAAGAACTTTATCAGTTCTCGGCTCAGACTGGCTGCNTCGGCAGCACATATACTAAAATTGGAACGATACAGAGAAGATTAGCATGGCCCCTGCGCAAGGATGACACGCAAATTCGTGAAGCGTTCCATTAATTTAAAAAAAAAAGAATTTCTGATTCCTCCAATTTTTTTAGGATTCAATAGAATTCTAGTAAATTTATAATAAAATTTCCCAATTTTATTAATAGCCTAATAAAGTATATTGATCAATATTTTCATGGGTTTGGTTACACAAGTATATACCTGTATTTCACTTTGCCTGACCTACAGAATGAGAGTCTGAACCATTTTCTTTCCTTTTATAGACCACAGCAATGGAACTTTTAATTTGAAAGCTCTTTCTGGAGGCGCTGGCTACAAGTTTGGAGTGCTTGCAAAGATAGTGAACTATATGAAGGTATAATTTTGCTGCCAAGTTTACTATGCGCACTTTTTATGATTACCATATTTCAGCTACAATATTTAAATATTGTGTGATGACACAAGAAATAGGTACAAAAAGAATTTCAGACCTGTGCTTGCTAATTGGGACAATATATTGTTCTCCCAGATGAACTATTGTTGGATTAAGCCAATGAACACTGAGATTGGGATTTGACATTTTTTATTTTAGAACGGAGTACATTTATTTATAATTAACTAAAAATTGTGCATTTTTATGTAAACACAGCATTTACAATACTGTGGTCTCTTTATTTATTGCAAATAAAAATAATGCAGTACTAGGCATAGTTTTGGGATTGGATTTTTTGTTAATAATTATTTGGATAATCCCCCTTTATTCATGAGCTTCAAACTCACAAAAGGCTGGATGGGATTGCTGTGAGGAGCATGTTTGCCCAGGGTTAATCTTCCTATGGTAATGTGGGCATATGCTGAAGATGAATAGAGTGATGTTATATGATACAGTCCTGCAAAGTGTAGAAAGAAAGCCATGTCTGAATTGTTTGGCATGATGACATATAAATTGAATAGACTTCCTAAAAATTTGGTTCAGTAGTATTGTTCAAACTCATTTGTGCCAAGAAGCCTCTCTTACTTTACCCAGAGTGAAAACATCCTGGTGCAAGTTAGATGGGATAAAAGCTACTTGTGATAAAGTCCCTTTGAACTGATTTGTGGTCTGTTGTTCAGTAATACAACATTGCTCTAATACTGTTGTAATTTATTTAGGTAGTTCACATCCTTTTCAATATCTGAGATAATACTGAAAATGCAGCACAGGCAGAATTAAAAAAGTAACTAATGAAATTGAAGCAGGTCCTTCAGCTATTTAAGCAAGATTACTTTTGCACATATTTTGTCAGCTTCTAATGTAACTAATAAATAACTAATAAAATCAATTGTTGGTTTTTTTGCTAGACTCGACATCAACGTGGTGATACCCATCCATTAACTCTAGAAGAAATATTAGATGAAACACAGCACTTAGACATTGGACTGAAACAGAAACAGTGGTTAATGAGCGAGGTAACAAAAGTAGTTATTTAGGGTACTAATTTAAATAAATATGATGACCAAATAATAAATAATAATAAGAAACTGTTATCAATGCTTCATGCCCAAAACTGGCAATGAAAGTAGATGTACAAATATAAGTTATTGCTTTCTGGTTATACAGTTTCTATGTTATTAACTTTAAGGTTACTTTGCCCTAAAAAAATGTTTTCTAAGTGTACTATATATAATGTCAATGAATTACATGAAGAAAATACATTACAAGATTTGTCAAGGAATAGAAACTTTCATTTGTATGATATTATATCTGAATTATTTTTAATGTTGAAATTGTATAAACAAATAGTGAAGATCATTGTATTTGCATGCATGCATCCCTATCTGTCTGTCCATACACACACACACACACACACACACACACACACAAATATATGTATACACAAACACACACTTTCTATTCTCAGATATTTTTGTATGATTATGATGTTTTCAAATGTAAAATATTTTAATGCTTTTTACAATTAAAATTCAGTATTTTATTTTCACACACATTTTAAAATATTTAAGTTAAATTAATACATCTGATAACAAAGTCCAATATGAAAATAGCCCTGTTTAAAGTTTATCAGTACTACTTACCCGTACATTGAGAGTGATTGACTAAGTCATTCATGAGACACAGATACAGCAAACTATGCTATTCTAAGGAGACTAGATCAGACGTGATTGATATAGACATGCCCTAGGCAGATTCTTTTTTGTTGTTAATTTCTCAAAATTATTCAGTTTTCTGTACATACTGTGATAAACAGTAGCACACACAATTCAAACATTGTTAATTTTACGAAGTCCATGTATGCTATGTTCTATCAGCTGAGTTCTTTTTTGTTTTGTTTTCATTATAGGCCCTTGTCAGCAATCCTAAAATAGAAGTTATAGATGGGAAATATGCCTTCAAGCCTAAGTATAACTTAAAAGATAAAAAGGCTCTGTTGAGGCTTTTGGATAAGCATGATCAACGAGGATTAGGAGGAATACTTTTGGAAGATATTGAGGAAGGTCTTCCTAATGCACAAAAAGCAATTAAGGTAAGCAATACTTATCATTGCATCTTTCAAGTTTGTTAACTGGTTATAAGGCATTTGGATTAGTAACATCTTTTTCAATTATAATGTAGAGCAATTTTTCTTTTTTAAAATCCTGGTGGCAAATTCCTAGATCTCTTCTTGAACAATTTGGCAGCTTCGGAATCTGGGAAAAAAATAGGTTTTTTAATTTCTTTGAATGTATTTATTTATCATTATGGACATTAGCCAGCACAAGAAAATGGAGGTTAAAACATTCAAAATGTCGAAAACTAAATTAACAATATCAGGATAGTTAAGAAAAATACATATAGATTCCAAAAGTATCTAAAGGACAATATTAAATCACAATATCCTAAATGGCTTCATCAGGTTACACATATACAATAAGAGGAAATTAAAATTAGTAATCTGAATAGTATAAAGTTGGAATATCAGTATAAAATACAAATAAAAAACCTCCCTTTTTATGACACTGTAATCCCTTAATTTCAGGGTAGAATCAGGGCAACTGAATGGAGCTAAGTGTTTACTGGTCGGATTCCCTTCCTGACACCACATGGAGTTCGCAGCAGATATTTTTTCTTTGTGCCCTAGAGGAGAGAAATATCTGCTGTTACCTAGGATTGAATTCTCAACCTTCCAAGTGGGAGATGAGCATCTTCACACTAGGCCACCATGCCACTAATCTGTATTTTAAAAAACCCATGAGTATAGGTATATGTATTTGTATAGTTTAATATATTTTGTAGTGGCGCAGTGGTTAGAATGCATACTGCACGGCTAACTCACTGCTCACTCCAGAAGTTCAATTCTGAGCGGTTCAAAGTGGACTCAGCCTTCCAGCCTTCCAAGGTCTCAGATTGTTGGGGTCAATATGTTGACTCTATAAACCGCTTAGAGGGGGCTGTAGAGTACTGTAAAGCAGTATATAAGTCTAAGTGCTATTGCTGTTTGTATCAGTTCAAAATACAAATAATTATACATATACACACATATACATACATTATTNCCTATGAAGCGGTATATAAGTCTACTGCTATTGCTATTGCTTTGAGATCGCCAAATTTCTCTGTTAGCCAAAAGAAAGTAAATCCACTCTGAAATCTCAGCATCAAATATTGATTGATAGGGCTCCTCTACTTTTGGCTAAACTATTCATATCTATACATTGCACACTTCAAATGTCAGCTAATTGGTGTAAATTTGTTATAGCTCTGATCTTTGAAAACAACAACCTTGAAAGTCCAGCAAACCTGCCCAGTCAGCTTACTGAGCATTGTGAGCAATACCTAGCGATGAAAGGCATTTCCTGTCTCCAGAGAAAATGTTTCCTTCCTTAAGTCTGCATTTAACTTAATTCTCAGAAAGAGGTTATGGGAAAAATTACTTGCCTTCTCAATCAGCCAGCTACATTTTGCTCTAATTATGAAATTGAGCAATAACAACACTTGGCAGTTTTACTGTAACTTTCAATGCCCTTTGTATTTCATAGTCCTATATCTATTCAGATGTGGGTAAATCAGGACTGCATTTAGGCTCCAATTCTCTTTAGCTTTAAAATAAATTCATTGAATCAAGCCCTTCTTCATTAGGTAACAGCAATAGCACTTAGACTTATATACCACTTCCCAGTGTTTTACAATCCTCTTTAAGCGATTTACAGAATCAGCCTATTGCCTCCAACAATTTGGGTCCTCATTTTACTGACCTCGGAAGGATGAAAGGCTGAATCAACCTTGAGCCTGGTGAGAATTAAACTACCAAGCTTCTGGCAGCCGGGAGTCAGCATAAGTAGCCTGCAGTATTTCATTCATTGCGCCACCACTGCTCTTATAAACATGACCACTTCAACAAACCTCCATAAACATACTAAACATAATCCCAGTCTGGGAGCAGAGGCAAATCCCAAGAGACTGATGGAACTCTTGAGAGTGGGAATTGGTATTTAGTTTGTCCTTTTTTATTCACTGTGACACAAATACTTGATAGTAATTGGGATTGCATATATTTAAACATGAAATCATTTTGTAATTATCTAATTTCAGCTCTTCTGTTTTAGAATTTTTGTATGCTAATATTTACGTATTTATAATATCTAAGACCCTTTTTCTTATTCTGTACAATTCATAATAAAGGTTATGCTTGTTGTTACTATTTTATATAGCATTGCCGCCAATGAGGGATGTCAGTTGAACAGTATAATTATGAAAGGAAACTAATTAGTATTCATTTTGGGATTTTAGAATTTCAAAAACTTTGGAGGAGTGTTCCTGTGGATTCTATGGATGAAGAGAAGATAGAAGACTATCTGAAACGCCAGGGTATTTCCTCTATGCAAGACGTAGGCCCAAAGAAATTAGTAAGCAATTTCCTATTAGTCTTTTGTTTCTTCAGAATTAATATATTTAATTTATAGGAAATGAAGATATTTTAAGACACAAGAAAGAAAAATGAATGGATTGCTTAAGAGAATGAGATTACAAGGCAATGGACAGGATCCATTTTCCTAACACTAAATGAGGCATTTCTGTCATTTGGATCTAATTTTAGTTTAGAGGCTTCACTGGTCCCCATTTCAGTCCTTTAGATAGCAATCTACTGCCGCTGCAGAGAAATTCCTGCCTATTGCTGCTTGCTTTGGACCGCATAGATTTCTAAGACAAAGATCAACCAATATTGACCCATATGTGTACTGTCCCCAACAGAGGAGAGAATGTTACGGGCACAGAAATTCAAAAATATCCTGAAATATGGTTTCACATAGAGATCTCATTTTCTCCCACTGTCCAGCATGAAGAAAATTTCCAAAAATTCATAAGGAGCAGAATTACAAATCCTTTCAAATACTACCATATGATTTCTTTAGCGCATGCCTAATAAATTCTACAATCTGGCCTTTGTATGTATTTGAAACCACATGCAAGTGCCTTGGCTTCTTGGAAAAATAAGAGGTACAAGAACAAACCTGGATCACAAAGCCATTTTTTAAATAACACTAATATGGGAGAAATGAGGACATTTGCAAGAGTGCTTAACTGTCCTCCCAGCACCACCCTAATTAATGTATAAATTCTAAGCCTTGAAGTGAGAGCAATATTCAGATAATATCTGGTCTGGCCGTCAGTCTTCAAGAATGAAAATATACTAACTTTTTGAGATTGGAATGGGATGCAGTTGTAAGTTCTCATTAATTAATTAATTAATTAATTAATTTGTACAAACTTCACATCTTTGCAACACAATACATTTTTTTACGTATCTGTTGTGATTCTTTGTATCTTACAAATATATCTTTTAGAACTATAACTTTATAGTTATTATGGGATGCACTTGTAAGTTCTATATAGCTCTAATTCATCCCTATTCCACAATAAAGACAAAGAATTGGCTTCTCCTTTTCGAAAAAAGGAAAAGAGACTCTGATGCTTAGAAAGTGAGTGGAGTATTTGACAATAACAAGAATTGTAAATTATGAATTAGAAAGAGTGGTCAGGAGATTGCGGTTCACTCTTCCTCCGTTTTTTTGTGCCTTTGCTCAATACTACCAATCAGTATTACCGTAACTATGATGTTTAAACATTTTGGCCCTTACAACTGTAGGGCTTGCGCACACATTAAAAAGCTGATCCCCAATAGGAAGTCAGTATATGTAGCTTTGTGTAGAACTGGATTTGTTTAACGAAAAGCATTGCATTACAAAAGACACACATACTGTACTTGTTTACTTATTTGCTTCATTTCTATATCAAAATCTTTTGGGGATTGGACAGAAACAAAGTAGATGCCTTAAACTTTCTAATTTAAGATACTCATTTTGTCCCTTAAATCCCTAATGGAAAATTTCAGTCTTGGGATGGAGTGGAATTGCTCAGGACTTCCCCAGTGCATTTAAAAAAAAACAAAAAAACAACTACTCATCCCTTCATGAGTAATAGCCAAAACATTTCACCACACTGCTTCAAAAATGGTTTGGATCTGCAAAACTGATATTGGGTAATTCCCAATTATTTCTGAATCAAACACCTGTGTATTAGTGGATGGCTTACTTGTATAATTTATGTTCAAAGGGGTTATGTACAATCCTCTAAAGACTGAAATAGGTTTCATTGTTCATTTCTGATATTTCTATGCTGTCTACCCCAAGTAGAGCAGCTGTGACAGCAGGAACCAAATTTTTTAAAAAAGCAACAGGAGAAAGATTGAAATGATTACACATGCTTTCACGTTTAGATTTTATTTGATTTTGTGTCAAAAATTTAATCTCTCCTTTTTTAATAATAATAGCAGGAAGGTCAGATGATTATTATGCAGTCTTTCATTTAACCAACAGTAATTTTCAGATCACTTACAATGTATCTAGCTTAAAGAATGTAATAGATGATCCATTTATGAAATGTAAGGTGTGTTTATTTTTTCTTGCTGGCAGCTGGCCATAATCAAATTGTGATTTGGTTTGAACAAAATTAACAAAACAAAACCCCTATTAACCATAATTGAAACAATCCAAAGTGGCAGACTCCAAACTTAAGATTCCTTTCCAGTGCTCTTTCCGTGAGCCAGTTTTCCCCTCTCTGTGGACGCTCATCATAAGAGTAGTGAGGAGCAAGATAGTCCATAGTTGGGGGACTACAATTGAGAAGGCTATATTATGGGATCGTTACCTGTGAAAATCCTTTGGGCTCTTATAAATGTGATTTATTTCTTCTTTTAGGTTCCTATCCAGAAAAGGAAGAAGCCAGCATCTCAGAAGAAACGGAGGTTCAAAACTCACAATGATCATTTGGCTGGTGTATTGAAGGATTATTCTGATGTAGCTCCTGGCAAATAAATTGGTCTTCTGAACTGAATTGTTATGTTGATGTAGATGCTTAGGACACAGATGTCCTTTGTATATCTGATGTGGTTCTTTCCTCTTCCATTTCTGTAGCAGGTGAAAAGTAACAACTTTTGGGATCAAGAATAAATTATTATAAGCTTGGATCAGAGCCATTCATTATCAGTAGACTTCTGATATTGGGGTTGAAATGTATTTAGCATGTAATGCTGATATTCATGTTCATCAGTTAAAATTTCTTTGAAGAATTCTTTGGTATTCTATTGGAATTTTATTAAGATGGGCTAACCTAGATAAATCTGAGATTTTTGATGTCAAGAAAAGATGTTTATCATAAAATCATTTTTAAAAGTTGAAGATTTTTTTTACATGTTTTCCATGCCTTTTGACTGAATAGCAGCTAAAAGTGACACTCCGTTTAGATATATACATTTATTATTTTAGATGAAGCTTTTATTTAGAAATGTAAACTCTTTTTTTATACTTATTTCCCCCCCACAAAGTGACATTTCTTGTATTATCCTGAAGTTTCCATTTGAATTTTCAAGTCTATTTCAGTTGGTTGTTTCTGCAGGTACTAGTTACATCATGGTGCCCATGCAACATCTTCAAAATTGTGTTAACATTCCATTTATGTCAGGAATCCTTGAGCTGAAATATATCTCCAAATAAATCATGAACCTGTTACAAGAAAACACAGGATTTGCAATGGTCTTCCCAGTTCCAAGATATTATTAAAAATCTGTGGGGAGATCTCAAAGTACAATGCAGGCCAAGAAGTCTCAGAATGATTCTGAGTTGGAAGAGTTCTGTTAATGAAGTATGAGAATCAGTTCCAAAAGCAAAGCTAGAATGACTCAGCTGACTACAGAAGATGTCTGCCAAAGGAGGTATTACAAAGTACTGCCTGAAAGAGTATCCAAACCTCTGCCCCTGCATATCTTCTTACCTTGAATCTTTTAATAATTGCACGTAAATTGTTAAGTATGCATTTTAATTTGTAGAACACTGTTGTGTGTAGTTTTGTATCATGTAGAAATTTTGCCATTTTCTGTTGCTTAAGGATTTATTGAAGTGTACATTTTGACCAAGGGTGCCTAACTTTTGCACACAAGTGTATTTGTATTGTTTGTGAGTTACTTTAGAATTAAAAAAAAATTGAGACAAGCCTGCTTCTTCATATGTAGTAATAAGAGTGGCCTTCCATTATATGACTGCTGGCTGTGATGAAGGAAAGAAAAAGGGCATGATTTGGGGTGAGTGAAGGTAAGAATATGTTTCTTCCCAATTATTGGAATGCACAATTCATTTAATATGGGTAATTCATTCAATATGAACAAATTGTGTATTTATACCTTGTTCTAGAGAAATGAAAGATAATGAAATAAAAAATGGCTACTCTATAAATAGTTTTAGTAATTGATAATTATGTTATTAATCTGGCAGTAAGCGATGTCTGGCCATGAGTTTATCAAATGTGGAGAGGAAATTTAAGTATGAATTTTCTTTTTGCTTTAAAGATTAAACTGAGCAAGGAAACTAGAAGAATGCAGCTTGAGCATAGATAGCCTTACTAAAAAAAGCCTGGCTTCACAAAATGAGAGCATAATTTTTTAATTGGATTAGTTTTTGTGTGTACTAGAAAGCACTGGTATAAACTGTTTGTAATGCATTTGATATATTCATCATAGTCCTTCCAAGTTTCTAGAGAATAGAGAAAAGAAAGTGAATTTGGAGAAAATATGTAAAGAATTCCCACTTGGCTCTTCCTGTCACTTTCTGTAGCACAAGGAACTTGGTGATATGACACGAGAGAGTGCCAGGCTTTCAGGACTGATGATGGAAAAATATTTGAAAGTAGCAATAATCACAAAGCCATAGTAGTGACATTGTTGTTTCCATCTTGAGACTCAGAGTCAGGTAGTTACAAATGTGTTGGCATGAATCTTTTACTATCCTATTGCTCAGAGACCAGCAGAGGCATGCTTGGTTTGGTTAAAATAAATGTATTTCACCATCAGGTACTTTAGAATTTCTTTTCCTATTACAGAGCCAGATAAGACAATTAAATCTTGGTTTCAGAATTCAGAAATTGGAAAGTCCTGTTGTTTATTATCATTATTACAATACTTCAGTCATTTTGTTTTAAATATGGGGGACATATATAAAAGAAAGAGCCCCCCCCCCCCGCAACTGAACCTCATTTTCTTCACCTGGTGAAATTTCTATAAATTGTACTGAACTGAAAATGGTCTGTGAGCCTTATAAACTAACCCACAAATGTTACACGAGTATTTGCAAACAAGAAAAAAGCAAATAATCTGCATGGAGATTTGAATAGGAACTCAGGATGAATCCATTATATTTATGCTTGCTAATGTACTATACATGTACAAGGAGCCGTCATTTGATAATCACAATTGAGCCCAAAATGTCTGTTGCTAAGCGAGACCGTTTATTAAGTGGTTTTGCTCCATGTTACTAGCTTTCTTGCCACAGTTATTAAGTATATCATGGCAGATGTTAATAACATAGTTGTTAAATGGATCTGGCTTCCCTATTGACTTCACTTGTCAGAAGTCCGGGAAAGTGATCACATGATCCCAGAACATTGGAACTGTCATAAATATGAGCCAGTTGCCAATCCAAATTTTGATCATGTAACCATAAGGATGCTGCAAAGGTCCTAGTGCCATTGTAACTTTGGTGACTAAATAAAAGGTTATGAGTTGGTATACATTCTTTCATCTGTGGATGTCCTTTTTATTTTTCATGCAGCATCCTTAAGCATGGGATTTCATTTCTGTGCCAATCTGTGCCTGGTAGTGACTAACTGATAATAGAGTCCTTGTCTTGAAAGGCTGGATTCAAGGATACATGCCATGCCTCCTTATCACTTCCCTAATAAATGAAGGGCCAGTCTGTTGGAAGAACAGATTCTAGCTCAATTCAATATCAAACTATAATGTGTTTTTTCTAAGAATGCATCTGTAATGATTTCACACTATGAAGGATACCATACGTAGTCACTTCTCATCAGTTGTAAAACAATTATTTCTGTATTGTGGATCTTTTTTAGTGTGTATGCATGCCCATGTTGCCTTTAACATTTTATAGAAGATCTGCATAAGCTTGTGGCTCTTACCTTGTCGAGTGCAGAAGATCAGTGACTCATTATATGTGGCTAGCTTGGGAAATATATCTATGGAGATTCTCAGTCATTCAAGTCATGGTTGTCCAAAGGTGCTTTTTGTTTTTCCTTGAAGATGTTTCGCTTCTCATTCAAGAAGCTTCTTCAAATCCACTCCAATTGATTCAGGGCCAGGCTTCTACCCAATTTTTTTTGCCATGGCCAATAGGATGGGAGTCCTGTAAGGGAGAGGCCTCTTTTTACATGGAAGATGGGACTTGAGTGGTTTTTCTTACCCTCTCCTATTTGGATGTTTCAATCTCCTAACACAGATGGTTGAGGGTTTTCTATTCTTTTTTCCCTGATGGTTTTCTTTTTTTCTGTGATTTATTCTGTAGGAGTCAGTTGCAGGATTTGGGAGGAGGTTAAGAACACGTCCTGAGAGGGTGAGTTGTGTGATTTGTGGAGACTATACCTATTGGAATCTGGGGTAATATATAGGAGGTACCTGTGCCAACACTGACTTGTAGCTACTATTTAAATGTTTTCAGGTTTTTCAAATTAACAATAATTAATTTGAAAAGGGGAAGATGAGGGAAGTATAAATGAAAACTGGGTTTGGGGGTAAGATATTAAAACTAAGTATTAACATGGATTTTCGCAGATTCTTATTTCTTCAAATGGATGCAAGTAAATAAACAGACATGGTAGTATAGATCATATTTTTATTTTATTCATTGCTTTTATTTTTAGAAAATTATAATAGAAAAGTATCTTTTAACAACTTTTTTTCTTCTAAAAAAAATCATAGACAAATTGGAAGCATTGTATAATCCAGTCAATGCGAGTAAAAGGCTGTAGAGAAAAGTCAGGTGTTTTGTGAAACAATCTAGCACAAATCTTTTTAGGGTTGTTTAACTACCTACAGTTACATCTTAAATTTGTTCAATTTATCCATATTGTTTGCTTAGTAATGGGCATTTTTCAGTTGCAATTTGGGGCTCTTCTGATGTGTTCAGAGTAGAACTCTCAGGAGTAGCTGCTGCATCACATCCAGAGGAGAACAAGCCAAGCAACCCTCTTGCAATTTTGCATTCTTAAAGCCTTTTACATTTTGACATATAACTTATATTTCTTACAAAAAATGTATCTTATTTCAGGATAAGTGATAATAATCCAGCAGAGAAGCTGCTGCTTCATGAACATTTGATCCTACTAACCCTATTAGCTTCTCTACTAAGCAGGCCATCAGAGCCAGACTTGTCACTATTGTAAAATATCTGGGCTAGTAGCTGGAGGGAGAACAGTGAGGGATTTCTGGAACTGGCAGCCTTCAGCAATTGAGAGAAGAATAATTTCCCATGAATGATTGATCTATGAACTCTTCTGCCCTAGGTTGTTGCACTCCTAGCTGTTCAAAAAACTGCAGGTGCAGTTATGCACTCAGAAGCAAGCCCTATTCAGTTCAACAGACCACATATCCATGTAAAGTGGAAATAGGAAGCAGATTTAAAAATAACTTCAGTAATTCAGTTCATTAGCTTCTAACAGGTGCACCTTTGGCTACAGGTGAATTTGTGTGTCACACCTGAGCTAAAGCTGATCTGTGGGAGAGTTCTCTTCAATAGAAAGAAAACAACATTTTAAAAAAAACCAACCCCAATGTTCCAGAGTCCTATTGCAGCACTAAAGTCCACCCAGACTGGGTAATGTCATATGGCTACAGCCGTTATCTGGCTCCTAAAGATAAACCCCTTCAAGAAAATGGAAAGCTTGAAGTAGCTTTTCCTTGGCACGCTGTGCCTGAAATCTTTTTTTTTCCCCCAAGAGTACAGACTTACAGTAAGTGAAATTGAATAGCTATTTAACAGTGGGCACCTGAAGATTTCTCCCCAGCAGGGAGTTCTGGTCATGAGGGCAATCCTTTACATGGGGCTGCTGCTACTGCTGCCACCTCACAAATCACCATCTGGCATCATTGCATAGATTTGGGGCTGACTACATATGCCTGCTACTGAGATTACCTGGGAAAAATCAAGAATAGCTGGTAAGCCAAATATCCCAAGGATGGCATTTCATTAGAATCAGATTCAGCAAAAACCTTTGGCATTTTTCATGAGGTGCTGGGATCAACAACTGAAGTTCAGTTTTCTGGATCAATGGTCCAGTCACCTCTTACCTTCCCCAAAAATATGATTAACAATAAATGACCAGAAACAATTCGTTGTATATTCAGAACAAAATCACAAAACTAAACTACATTTCAAAGATACGCACGCATACACAAACAGTGTATAAGTTATAAAAATAGATGGTATGGATGTTAGAAACTTGATTTAGAGTACATAACTTCCTGGACAGCTTGGTCCTCCAGGATGTGTTCTCACAAATACCAGGTTTTTTTTTCTTTTTCCTTTTCCAAATAATACACACAACCGTATGAGATATATTTGTCTGAAGAGAAATATAGTATTATAGACACAGTCGCAGAAATGTTCATAATTATGACTGCACAATTTCATTCATAATAGAAATTGACTTTCTACTTTCTACAGTGTACTACTTCTTATTCCCACACAATTGTGTATCCAAATATAGAGAAAAAAAAATACAGCAGGAACTAGCGATCAGGCACCGCTAATGTACAGCACACCAACTGTTACAATCATGAAAAAGCTATTATATTGCTGATTGTCTTGCTCAATATAATTTGGCACAATTAGGCAAAACATGAAAATAGCTACTACAGGAATACACTTCATATATTTAAAACATACCATCTCAGGCTCCAAAACCCGATAACCAAAATTGTCTGTGCATTTCAAACAATACACTTTTTAAAAAATCTGAACCAGATTTAAAAACATGCCTTGAACATGCATCTTAAAAGGGTAGGAAAAGAGATTATACATACTTAAAAATCAAACATATACAGTAATCAGTTCTTCCACCCAAGGTACAGTCCTCTTACTTAAAATGCTTGGTATAAAAATAGTTATTCTCTCTGCTGCTCTGCTTGAAAATAATTTTTTCAAACAAATTCATTCATGCTTATAGAATTTAAACTCTTAGACTTTTATACAATGTAGAAGAGGAACATATTATTATTATGGTTCACACAGTCAAACAGATGTTTAGACTGGATTTGGCATTTTTATTATTATCATTATTATTCAATACTTTCTATTTTATTTTTAAGAAGATGTGTGATAGAGGCTGTGGCAAAGTCTTGAAGGAATCCACGCTTGTGTGTGTGTTTTTTTTAAGCCTGTAAAAAAGAAAAGACACGCTTATGAAGAAACAACACAATCAAAGGTTCCAAATGGCCAGAAAACCAAGAACAAAATTCCCAAATCTGGAGGGTACTGCTAAAGGGAAATTCAGACTGGATGCCAAAATGGGAAGAGATAGTGAAGGTTAATACTAAAGAACTGGATATTGGATGGAGGTAAGGAGGTAGTTTATACTTCCTTGTTAAACTGTTCGAATACTTGCCATGAAAATGCAGTAAATTAAGCCAAAGTCTAAGACTATAATGTCTAAAGCTTTAATGTGTAAGGCACAATAGCAACAACAATAACAACAATTAATAATAACCTTGTTGACTCTTACTACTGCTGGTGGAATACAGAGGTACCGTATTTTTCGGAGTATAAGACACACCAAAGTATAAGACGCACCAAGGTTTTGAAGAGGCAAATTTTTAAAAAAGTAGGTAGGTAGATAGAGGAATAGAGAGGGAGAGAGAAAGAGAGAAATACAGTAGATAGTTAGGGAGAGAGAGTAGTTAGGTAGGTAGGTAGGTAGGTAGATGAAGAGAGAGAGAGAGAGAGAGAGAGAAATACAGGAGGGAGGGAGGGAGGGAGAGAGAGTAGTTAGGTAGGTAGATGTTTCCAGGTGTATTTATCCATGTGCTGGAGAAGGAAATCGCTGACAATCTGCAGCACCTAAGACTTGTTTCTGTTGGCACAGTACTTGATCAATCTAATTCTTATCAGTAACTCTAACTAAAGAGCTTTCCGAAAGAGGGGGAAAAAAGTTTTTGCACTCTGCAAACCTCCCAAAAAGGGCCCATTTTTCACGAAAACGGCCCCCCCTTTTAAAAAAAGGCATGAATAGCCTTGAGGGTGCTTGCAGAGTGCTCCTGGGGGCGGGGGACCAAAAGCAAGCAAAAAATGGCCCGTTTTTGGTCAAAAAAATTGCATCCTTATGGAGGCTTATAGAGTACTGCTGGGGGTTGTGGGGGGGAAAAACGGCCCATTTTTTGCTCATTTCTGCCCTCCCTGGCCCCAGGAGCTCTCTAAAAGCCTCCATAAGGGTATGCATGGCCATTTTTGTGAAGGGGTTGGGCTTCGGGAGGCAAACAAATGCTGATTTGATGTATAAGGTGCAACCAGATTTTCAGCCTCTTTTCTGAGGAAAAAAAGGTGCACCTTATACTCTGAAAAATATGGTACTTGAAAATTTTGTGAATCCTTTTGTATTTTCAATATTTCTGCATAAATCTAAAACACAATCTGTTCTTCATTCAAGGTCTAAAACTAGATAAAGCGAACCTAATTAAACAATTAAGTAAAAAATACCTGTCCACTTATTTATGAAAAAGTGATCTAAAGCTACATACTGTATTAGTGTAGAACGTTTCCAACGTTGAAAAAGTATTAAAAGATTGTTTCATTCAAAATAATGTGTACTTTTATGATTGCAGTAGATGGTGACTTACCGACCACACTGCAATTTGGAAGATGAAGGTAAGACATCAGTAGCGACTTTGGAAGAATGCATCAATACCCACAAGACAGAGTGTAGCCGCCATCACACACCTGATATCTAAGTAGAGATAAATGTGTCATCAGAAACTCCATTAATTATGTGCAGAATTTATAAAGTATTACTAATTACTGTATGCTACATATTTTTCTTTTTCTCCTCTTGATTATCTGCCAATCTTATTCCTAAAAATGGAGACCAAATGAGAACAAATTGCCTCAGGCCACTCAAAAAAGATCTCTGTCTTACACCATCTCTTAAAAGTCCTATGTGCTTCAGCTTAGAAAGAGCCTGAATATTGTAACTTTTACACAAGATCGTGAAAGCAATTTTCCTGCTAACATACATGGTTTGGATAATAGATAAAAATAGAAGTAGCCTGATCTATATACCCAAGGCACAATGAACTCTTCACATAATGTTATTTATTAATCTGAAGCCAAACTGAAGTACAATACACAATTATGGTACAAATAGCTAGAATAGAAGTTATTCAGTAAACTTTGTATATTGGGTTCATGTTCTTATCTAATGCGCAGAAATACTGTTTTTCGGTTTCTTTTCCTGACTATATATTTTATTTCAGTGTTACCAATACATGATAAAGCCAATTAAGTGAGAAGGATCTTGGAATCCTAGTGGACAAATATGAGCCAGTAGCGTGCAGCAGCTGCCCAAAAAGCCAACACAGTTCTAGGCTGCATAAACAGAGGGATAGAATCAAGATCACATGAAGTGTTAATACCACTTTATAATGCCTTGGTAAGGCCACCCTTGTAATACTACATTCAGTTTTGATTGCCATAATGTAAAAAAGACTCCAGAAAGTGTGCATAGAAGAGCAACAAAGATGATTAGGGGACTGGAGGCTAAAACATATGAAGAACGGTTGCAGGAACTGGGTATGTCTAGTTTAATGAAAAGAAGGACTAGGGGAGACATGATAGCAGTGTTCCAATATCTCAGGGGTTGCCACAAAGAAGAGGGAATCAAACTATTCTCCAAGGCACCTGAGGGTAGAATAAGAAGCAACGGCTGGAAACTAATCAAGTACAGAAACAAGTTATAACTGAGAAGAAATTTTCTGAGAGTTAGAACAATTAATCAGTGGAACAACTTGCCTCCAGAGGTTGTGAATGCTCCAACACTGGAAGTTTTAAAGAAAATGTTGGATAACCATTTGTCTGAAATGGTATAGGGTTTCCTGTCTAGGCAGGGGGTTGGACTAGAAGACCTCCAAAGTCCCTTCCAACTCTGCTATTCTATTCTATTCTATTCTATTCTATTCTATTCTATTCTATTCTAAGTAGTTAAGGCATCAAGCTAGAAACTGGGAGACCTGAGTTCCAGTGCCTTAGGCACAAAGCCAATTGGGCCAGTTCTTCTCTTTCAATCCTAGGAATGAACAAAGGCAAATCACTTCTGAAAAACCTTGCCAAGAAAACTGCAGTTTTACACTCCACCCTTAATCTCTGAAGGCTTTGTGGACAAGTAGCATCTTAACTGCTCTTCCAAAGACACAAAGGCTCTAATTCTGTTGTTTCCCAACATTTGAACTACAGAAACCTTTTCTACCCATAGGAGATAGGCCATTTTATTTGGCTATTAGAGCAATAGAGGAAGATCTTGTGGAATTGGTCTATCTATCTATCTTCTTCAAGACTAGGAAATGATAACTTGCTAAATGTCATAGTGATTCACAAAAATGTGAGTTAACTTATATAAATAAATTTGTTTATGGATGATGTGATTTTTAGTGATTGAAACAATTTGGAGAGTCTATTAAGCAATTAATTATAATTACATGGTATCTATTTGCAAAATGAAAACACTAATCCGGTTAAAAACCAGTGGAAATGCTGACATTTAGCTTGATTTTATAATGATTAGTCAACAATGTATGCTACCCATTCTTTTGTTCAACTGTGGAATAGGATCAAAAATATAAATCTCTGTTATCTGCACAACCAGTCCAGAGATATAGGCTAGGATAAAGAATAATTGCTTGCCCAAAGATAGATACTGAAATCAGTAAAAGGCAGCTTTCCTATTGGCAAAAGGTGGGTGTGTGGAGTCCAAGGATCTCTTTCTCAAAATGATCTAAGGCAGCAAGAATGATGAACTTGAAGTATTGGCTGATTGTCCAAAGAGGAACAGCGGCCTAAAGGAGGATCAGCCCATGTAGCCATTTTCCATTGCTAGGTTGCTTTGCCAGCAGGTATACTTTTAGTGTATGAAATAACCGTTCCATTGTCTTGATTTTTAAAAAAAGAGCCTGGTTTCTTTTTTATGCCTCAAGATTCATATGCATTATGGAAGATGAACTTTACATTCAGATGTTCCATGGTTTTGCTGTTGCAATAACTTAAAGAGAATTGTTCCCAAATATGGTTATGTTTGCATAATGTTTTGGAGAGAAAAATCTGTGAGTCCTTCAATCTTATTTTTACATCTCTCCCTCTCATACACAAATATGCTAGTATGAAAATAACTTACTGCTGCACTCATTGTATCTGTGCTTAGAAACACCAGCCAATTCTCATTTAGTCACTGATGATTAAATTATTTAGGCTTGGGAAAAGAAAGTTGCTATATTAGGAAAAATACATTGACTGAGTTTGCAAAGAGAACGCCAGTGCAAATCATGATATTCTGTCTAATGAGGCTGTGATGTGATTTTCAAATATGACAAGAATAAGCTGGATAGATTTGATGGAAGAAGAAAAGGTTACAGGAATTAGAAACTTACATTCTTTAACAATCCTTTATGTACTCATTTTGGCTTACCTCCTTTTAGCAACTTCAAAATTCACTTTGGAATAGAAATTTAAAATAAAAGTGAACAGCATCTCTTCCCCCAATACTGGACTAACCATGATTAAAATTTAGACATGAAGATCAACTTGTTCTGAGGTGCTTAACAATTTCATACATGACAAAAAAAAACCTTGGCAAACTAAAAGGTTGAGTAGTGAATTTCCAGCAAAGACTGGTCTCTTGTTGGGTGGTCATAAGCACAGCATGAAGAGAACTCATCCAAACTCTATGGTGTTCAACAGATTGCCACTGAACATCACAGAGCTTCTTCAAAACCATCTCCAACTAGATGACCTTTAGGTATATTGTCCTTCAACTCCCAGATCTCCAGCCAACACACTTACTTTGTCACATAATCCAAAACAAGCCACATTCTCAAATGTAAAGGAATAGGAAATGGTAGCCCACTTTTGCATCAGCAAATTCCTTTTAGCATTGTACTACTGCATTTTTCCTGGTTGCCTCTATTGAGCCATTATCATTGTTGAAGTTTGCCTGACTAGTTTTTTGGCTTGTGATTAAGTAGAAGCTGCATCAGAAATGCTCTGCTGTTGTGGTTGTGAAATTGTTCCATGGAATCTGAAAGAGTTCTTATGTGAGGGGAAAATGGATAATGTTGCCTAACTGGGTTTTGCAACAAAGACTGTTGATATGTCACGCTACATCATGGCTCAATGAGCCACAATTAGGGTTTAAATGCATATTAAGTCATAAACCACAGTAACTGGATTTATATAACACATAGAGCCACAATCAAGAAACCATATTTTGGCAGCACAGTATGTGATCCCCACCAAAACACTTTTCTTCTTTTAAGGTTCCACCAAGTTGCCAAGACTCTTCAGAATATTGTACACTGCATTACATTCTCACACCCAGCCATTTTGTTTTTCCTGCAGTCAGTCAGCACCTTATCCTGCTGCACATGTTTACTTCTATTTTAATGTTGTTAAGAGCTGTTTTGCTCATTATGGTTTTTCTTTTAACCTAATTATGTTGCCGTCCCTGTATATCTGATGTGTTCCTCTGAGTATGCTGACACCTCCCTCTTTCAGCTCCAAAACCATTCTCTGTAACTGTCACAACTGTGTATCTGACATCACTTGTGGCACACCTATACCTTTTCCTGAACAACAGTTTGTATTCTGTCACATGTCTTCTGTCATCAAAAGATGCAAGAAAAGCAACCGATCCATTTTGGAGTTCTACCTGGCTACACCATGAGATAATGAATCCTAATAGTTTCAGTTCCCAGGGCTGAAATGAGAATATGCATAAATTCCCAAATCCACAGGGTTTCAGGGGTGGAAGGTGAATAGTATGCAGAAAGAATATCTGTAGGAAGTCTGAAAAATACAGCTCCAAAGGATGAGGGAGAGGACTTTGAGTTTCAACCACTGCCTAATAGACCAGCAGTTCCTCAGGAGAAACTTTTCCTCCTCCTTTCTGCTCATTAGGGCAGCCATACTGCTTTGCATTCTTAAATTGTCCCATTTTATTTACAGAACTAAATTCAGCTTGCATTTTCTTCTTTTTTTCACCCCGTGGCCTCTATCCTTCAATAGTCCTGTGAGCATGTCCCCTTGATTTATAGCTTTCCAACCCTGAATCTCAGCCAGTGAAGTTTTATTTTTTGTTATTGTTATTTTTTTTTAACAGATGTTTTATTTGGCTAAAAATAATCTAAAAATAGAGAGAGATAACTGGTGAATAATCCTCTTTGGTTCAGAAACAAAAAGCTGCAAAAGTCAAAGAGGCTGGCTTGGGTTCTTCTTAGCCAGAGGGTAGATGGAATTGTTTGTAGTTTGTTTGTAGTTTGTAGTTTGTACATGAACCCTTGACATTGTAAGTATGTATCATTTGTCTATTCTGACATTCAAGTAAGAGCCATGGTGGTGTAATGGTTACACCAAGGCTAATTCTGCCAACTGCCAGCAGTTTGATTCTCACTGAGTCAAGGCTGACTCAGCTTTCCATCCTTCTGAGGTGGGTAAAATGAGCACCCAGATTATTGGGGACAATATGCTGATTCTGCAAACGGTTTAGAAAGGGCTGCAAAGCACTGTGAAGCAGTATATAAGTCTAAGTGCTATTGCTCTTTCAGATCATCTTAAGACCGCTCTCTACCTGTCCGGAACCCAGGCAAAATAGGACTCCCTTCTTCCTAACCCTTTAACTCACATATTACAGGGGTCTCATGCACACAGGGAAGGGATTATTTATATCCCTAAAAGAATGGGGGATAACTAATCACAAGAGATGAAAACATCTTGAGGTCCTCATGTGGGAACGCAATCTTTACAAAAGAGACTGCTTGGAAAGCTCCCATCATAGGCAAGGTGGGCAACTATAGAAAGCCACATATTTTGTCTTTTGGTGTGATATCTGAGGAACATCATCAGATTTAATTCACTGCAATGGCCTTAACATTCCAAAAATATCCTCTAGCCTACATGATTAGGGCCTTAAATTTATAATTATTTTCTTTTATTACTTTCAGCAAGCTCAGCTCATTCCGCCATCCATTATAACTGATTAATATTAGGTTAAAATGTTAAAATAAGGTTTAGCCCTGTTCCCCTATTTTTTTTACCATGAGAAAAAATGTGCATAAAATGTTTTTTCTTGCACATGTCATTTGAAAGGCATTACAACTTCTAATTTCTGCCATTTCATTTAATTTAAGTCAATGGTTAAGGTGTTGAGCTTGGACTTGAAGAAACGCAGAGTTTAGTTCCCACTTGAACCCATGATTTTCAATCATCACTGTCCTGGTCCAGTTTCTCCTAATTAACAATTAAGAGGACTCCAGTGTATGCTGAGTTAAGCTTCCAGAATATTAATAATAATATTATTACTAGTAATAAAATTATGCCCTAGGACAAAAAATCTGTCCCCTCCAAATTGTCAAAGGGTGGTTTTTCAGAGAGAAGACATATGGAGACAGGAGGGAAGGGAATAGCTGTGAGTGAGTAATCACAGGTCCAGACATTCATTCTACACACACACAGCACAAAAAAACCAAAAGCCACAGCCCTGGGACTCCCCCTGGTGATCAACTGGAGCCTCTGGCAAGTGGTGCTTGTGCTCTACTCACACAGGATTCAGCAGAACTGACGGGACTTCCAGCCCTGAGAAGTAGCCTCTGAGGGAGGGAGCCAGCGGATCTGAAAAAAACCAAAGCCCACAAGTGAGAAATAAAACTCAGGCAAAAATGAACAATACTTTTCCATAATGTCCTTCTTCTAGTTCCTTGGAGCGCGGACTCATCCCTGTATCTCAAACAGCCAGTTGGACCTACTTTTCATTTGTTTCATTTATTAGCTTTACATTTTACAGGTGAAACTCGAAAAATTAAAATATCGTGCAAAAGTTCATTTATTTCAGTAATGCAACTTAAAAGGTGAAACTAATAAATGAGTTAAGTCTCATTACATGCAAAGCAAGATAGTTCAAGCCGTGATTTGTCATAATTGTTATGATTATGGCGTACAGCTCATGAAAACCCCAAATCCACAATCTCAGAAAATTAGAATATTACATGCAATCAATAAAACAAGGATTGTACATAGAACGATATCAGACCTCTGAAAAGTATAAGTATGCATATGTACTCAGTACTTGGTTTGGGCCCCTTTTGCAGCAATTACTGCCTCAATGCGGTGTGGCATGGAAGCTATCAGCCTGCGGCACTGCTGAGGTGTTATGGAAGACCAGGATGCTTCAACAGCAGCCTTCAGCTCTTGAAGCACAGTGGTCCAAAGTCCTGTTGCTCAGTGTCCAAAGTCCTCTTTTCTGATGAGAGTGCTTTTGCCAAAAGCACTAAAACGTGGTTCAATAACCGTGGGATTACTGTGCTTGAGTGGCCTCTCCATTCTTCCTCCATACTCTGGGTCCTTGGTTTCCAAATGAGATGCAAAAAAGTTGCTCTCATCAGAAAAGAGGACTTTGGACCACTGAGCAACAGGACTTTGGACCACTGTGCTTCATTAAGATCAGGGTCAACGCAGCTGTCTACCAGGAGATTTTGGAGCACTTCATGCTTCCTTCCACAGACGAGCTTTATGGGGATGCTGACTTCATTTTCCAGCTGCCCACACTGCCAAAAGCACCAAAATCTGGTTCGATTACCATGGGATTACTGTGCTTCATTGGCAAGCAAACTCACCTGACCTGAACATTGCCAAGAGAAAGATGAGAGACATGAGACAGAACAATGCAGAAGAGTTGAAGGCCACTATTGAAGCATTCTGGTCTTCCATAACACTTCAGCAGTGCCACAGGCCGATAGCTTCCATGTCACGCCGCATTGAGGCAGTAATTGCTGCAAAAGGGGCCCAAACCAAGTACTGAGTACATATGCATGCTTATACTTTTCAGAGGTCCGATATTGTTCTATGTACAATCCTTGTTTTATTGCTTGCATATAATATTCTAATTTTCTGAGATGGTGGATTTGGGGTTTTCATGAGTTGTACACCATAATCATCACAATTATGACAAATCACGGCTTGAACTATCTTGCTTTGCATGTAATGAGTCCTCTCCTATATTAGTTTCACCTTTTAAGTTGCATTACTGAAATAAATGAACCTTTGCACGATATTCTAATTTTTGGAGTTTCACCTGTATATCCTGTGAGACTGCTGCAAGGTAACATAAAGGGAGTACTTTTGCTACAGCAAAGGAGCAGATAAAAACAAAAGTGAATCAACAAGAAGAATGGGTATGCAAGAAGCATTAAGAGAGAATAGATCCGCATTACCTGATTAACCTACTGAGATCACTTATGAATCTAGCTTTTTAAAGAATTTCACTTTTAAAAAAGAACTCTGAGCAAAGAGCAGATTTTTGCCCCACTATACTCTGCTTATATCCAAGAATATTATATAATTCAGTGGAACATTGACTATTGAGAGCAGGGGACTTGCAAAGCATAAACTCAGTCCTGCACTTCACATATCCCACTTGAGATTAGTGGTCATTATCAATATATGCACTTGCACTGCCTCCTTTCATATATCGGAAGGGACTATTTGATATTTAAAAACTAAGGAGAGCCTGGGAGACCTGGAGATTTAAAAATCAAGTCACTGTGTGGTGGAGTTCCATAATCATATTTACATAATAATACAACATAATTTTAAGTTATAGTAAAAGATGCTTTAGCCTTTACTGAATGTAAAAATTCAAAAAGGAAAACAGAATGCGAATTTCCTAGGAATATATTGTGAAAAATAATGTTACTATGAAGATAAGCCATTTGTAGAGGCTGGCCTTCACAAGGAAAATCACTTCAAATTCTGTCTCTCTTTCAAGATAATAAATTGACCCTGAAGAATACAATGGTTGGCCATTTCACTAACCATTACATTCGTAAATAGCATCCTCAGCCCATCATAATGACCACAAACCATCTTTTTAGCTCTGGCTGTTGAGACCAATTATTCCAACAAATTCAAGTGTTGCATTGCTTGAGAATCTCCCGCCCCCGGCACTCTCTCATGTTTGACCTCATGGGTTTTATAATTATTGCATTTTATTGTGTTAGTTATTTGCTGTTTCACAATTTGTTATTTTATTATGGTCAATTACTGTAATAAAGTGTTGCTATGATTCTAAGGACAGAGCAGAACAGTTAAGAGACGTTAAGTCGTCCTTCTGGATGTTTATCAGACAGCATCAGCACTAACCAGTCAGTGGGATTCTCTACGCAGCTACCAGGTAAGATCTTCAATCAGGAAGGATCATACCTGCTGGGATTCGGGGGAACGATCACTATTGTCAGAAAATAAAGTACAGAGGAAACTCTTTTCTGGAAATACAACACAGAAGAGACTGACTAGAGACTGACTGAGAGAAATGGCAACCAGCAGCGGAAAGAAAAAAGTTACTCAGTTCCTTTCCTATAGGTCAATGGCTTAAAGTCACTAGCAGGCTCATTAACTTATTGTGTCATCTCATTCCCAACCTCACAGAGCCAGCCTTCCCACACGGATCAAGCCATTGTCTATTTTTGAACTCGTTGGGTAGATGGGTGGGCCTGAAGCCAAACAGGGAGAAGGCAAAGTCAGAAATTCCTGCTAAGTTGATCTTTTCTTATCCCACAGATAGCTGTATGCAATCATAAGATAGGCATAAAATGTTCTATCTTCACTGAACATTTAACATTTAAAAGTCTAATTGAATATGGAATATATTCAGAAATGCCAAGAGTACAAAATATTGGTGAAGATGCTGGTAGAACCTCACGCTTCCATTACTTGGGGCTCAGATGTTTCCAGAAGATGCAGCCTGGTTCTCCACAAGAGGGAGTTCTCTCAGCCAGTTCCTCCCCTCATCCCTTTCTTTTCCAGCTGACATGAAAATGAAATTTCCTCCTCCAAGATGAATTCAAAACCACACTGCAGTTACCAACTAATTACTAACACAGTAAGAGATTATAATATTACGGTTATAACAATAAAGGTCACAAACAAATACAGGGCAACTCTGTAGGGGAACATGTTTTATGTCCTTGAATTCTGCAGCCACAATTCATCCTTGACATGCCTTCCAGATAAGGTGAGGCAATCATGTTTTAGTAAACAATGTCATGATTCCCTTTTGCAGAGCATCTGTTAATCCTTGGTGTGATGAACAGATATTTCTCTAGCATTATTAGTGATGCAATACAGTTTCATAAATGTTTAAACAATTTAAACAGGAAGAAAATTTATTATCACCTGACATCTGTGTAGGGGACAGTAATTGGTTATGGGTGTTTTGCTCAGATGAACATGAACTGAATATAAAGACATAATACTTGATGCTGCTAGCAAAACAATGCATGTTCATTTTATTCATGTAGCATTACATGGACGTCATTACATGTACATGTACACACACACACACACACCTTGCTTGGAAACCTGGACCACTTTAAAAAAAACCAAAACCAACAAAGAACACAACCAATACCAAATGAAAATAAAGCAGCCAGCAGATGAAGCAATTTGACATCTACCATTAGATAAAAAGATAAACCACTACATTGCTGCTAAATGTTATGAAAAACTATGATTAAATAAACTGGACCTGAGTCACTCATGTCTGCAGAAAGTGCTGGACAAGAATGTACAAAATTGAGTGGCTCTTCCATATTAACAGGCAGTGGCATCTTCAGGAGAGTCCAATAAAACTAAGATGGTGATGGTGGCAGCACAAAGACCCATTTGTATTTGTCACCATGATATGCACATATAAAGGGATAGGGCTTCACTTTCACTGCTACAGCTGCCATCGTGCCTTTTTTCATCTTCCCTGTGAATATCCTGTTGCTGATGCCATACCATTTTTCCTTTATTGCAGATGTATTGCACTACTTTCCCCACAGCACCAAAGCCAAGAGATCAGGAAAAAGCTGTAACATTTTAGACCAGGGGTGTCAAACTCGCAGGCCATGGACCTGATGCGTCTCACATGTTGGCCCCAGACAGTTTAGTGAAGGGGAGAAAGTTCCAGTATCTCATGTAAAGCCGCTGTGACGACATGAGTTTGACACCCCTGCTTTAGGATATTTAGATGGATCCCAAAGTAGCAGGATAGGAGAGCAAACCTATCACAGTAGTCAAGTAAATGACTTGAAAAATCAAAGTTGTGCAAAAAAGACATCCTTGTAACTAGTGAATACTAGTGTAACTACTTCCAGATTTGTACTCCAGTACAAGGGCAAACTCTTTAGATGGATAGGTCAAGTTTTAATTCTGAGGAGGAAGGGAGGAAGCGATTTCCAGAAAAATTGCAGACTGCGGGAACCATTTGTGCTTCAGTTTGAGATGTAGACAACAGACTCATCCCCAACAACCTGTGCCTATCTTCAACAGTGAAGGGACACAGGACAAAGAAACATTGTGCAGCCAAGGCTCCACACCCATTTGCACTGCTCAGGTGACCCTAAGGACACAGATGAACCTCCAAGTGGTTTCAATGACTCTCTAAAAGAATGCAAATGACCAGCTGTCTGCAAGGAGTGTAAATTATTCCATTCCCCACCATTCAGTTAGAGCTGAAGAAACTTCTTGGTTGAGCGGTGAAACATCTTCAAAGAAAAACAAGAAAGTGCAGTTGCCTCCTGAAAAAGCACCTTTGGGAGGAAGGGATTCCATTCCAAATAAAATCCCTCCTT